TGGGTTCATCCTCCTTTTAGAGGGAGGTCCTGGTTTTGGGGAGCTTTCATCCCATTTTGGAAGGGTTCATCCCATCTTTTGTGGGTTTCGACACCCATTTTCAGGGGGTTTCACCCCTTTCAGGGGGTTTCACCCCTTTCAACCCATCCTGGGGTAGTTCACTCTGATTTGGCGGTGTTCCCTACACTTTTGGGGGCTTTTCACCCCAGTTTTGGGGTAGTTTGCCCCAATTTTGGAGGGTTCATCTCATTCTAGGGGTGGTTAACTCTGCTTTTAGTGGGCTCCACCCCATTCCAGGGGTGGTTCACCCGGTTTTGGGGGGGTTTACCCCATTTTGGGGGCTCACCAGTAAAGGACCTCGTCGCCGCACTCGACGTCGAAGCGGAAGTGGGAGAAGGCAACGGGGCCGGCCCCGGCCTCACGGGCAATGAGGTACCAAGCGCGCTCATCCCGCAGCTCCTCCCGCTTCTCCCGCTCCTTCCAGCCCCACTCGCTCTGCTCATACCTGGATTAGGAGGAAAAAGCAGGGTCTGGGTCAAAGACAACCACGAGGAGCAGAAAAAACCCAAATCCCAACTGGTTTAGGCGAAAAAAAGCCAAATCCCAGCAATTTTGTGGCCTTAGAACCTTCTAAATAAGTTTCGGGGGGGGGCGGGGGGCAAAAGCCAAACCCCAACAGTTCTGGGACACAGAATCCCTGATTTTTGGGGTACTGAACCCTAATTCTAACAATTTGAGGCCCTAAATTCCCTCAATTTGGAGTCGTTAAACCCAAACCCCACTGATTTTGAAGCCCTAAAAAACCCCAAATGTGGGGAGATAAAACCTGAATCGCAAAGTCCTGGGGCTCTAGAACACCCTAAACCACTTATTAGGGGGCAAAACCTGAACCCAAATTAATTTGGGGCCCGAATTTTGGGGCACTAAACCCAAACCCTGACAATTCTGGGTCTGTAGACCTGAGCCCCAAACAATTTTGAGCAGAAATAAACTAACACCATGAATTTAGCGCAAAACCAAGCTCCGAAGCCACCCCCTTCACAGTCCTGACCTGGGGGCAGAGACCCCCGAAATCCCAGCAGCTCCCCTGGGATTTGGGGGCACAAACCCTCTCTTTCCCTTGGGATGTGACTCACAGGGTCTGCATGTTGGCCTTGGTCAGCTCAAAGGCCCACTCCAGGGTGGCAGGGTCCAGCCCGGAGACGCGTTTGCACTCGATGGCGACGTTCAAACTAGGGAAGATGCCGGGTGGAAAACAGCGTCGGCACCAGGAATAGAATGATAGAATGATCATAGAATGATAGAATAGTGAGGGTTGGAAAGGACCTTAAGGTCATCCAGTTCCAGCCCCCCTGCCATGGGCAGGGACACCTCACACTAAACCATGGCACCCATGGCTCTGTCCAGCCTGGCCTTGAACACCGCCAGGGATGGAGCATTCACAACTTCCTTTGGAAACCCATTCCAGTGCCGCAGCACCCTTACAGTAAAGAACTTCTTCCTTAGATCCAATCTAAACTTCCCCTGTTTCAGTTTTAACTCATTACTCCTTGTCCTATCACTATAGTTCCTAATGAGGAGTCCCTCCCCAGCAGCCCGGGAATGCCGGGGGCACCAACACTCACCCATTGCGGTCGTACTTCTTGAACACTGGGAAAGCTTCGAGGGGATCCTGGAGCTGGAAGGGAACCAAAGAGCACCCAAAGAGCACCCAAAACCGGGGAGGGGACACACACACACACACACAGAGGACATCGGGGTTTGCACCAATGTGGGGGGCTCTCACCCCATTTCCACCCCCAGGACACTCACTTTGTTGGCAGCTTCCACCTTGGCGCACACAGCGGCCATGGCCGCCCGCTCCTCCAGGCGCTTCTGCTTCTTCTCCTTGGCTTTGCTGGATTTCCTCTGCAAAAAACAACAGGAATTTCACTCAATTTGGGGCTATTTTAACAAAAACACCCCTCTCCCCCCCCCAAAGATCCATCTGGGAATTCATAATTAAAGCCCAGGCACAGAAAACCAAACAAGTTGCAGAGTCTGCCCTAAAATGCATGGAATAAAAGTGATTTTGGGTTAAAAAACAGCGTTTTGATGAGTGTATTGGGGGAGGGGGGTGTTGAACCATCTGTTTAGCACTAATGTAACCAAATGAGCAGGGTTTTGCCTCAAAATCTTGGGCGGTTTAATGCTCGATGAGATGGTATCTGCATAAGGCTCATGTTTTTAAGTGTTTCTCTTCAGCTTCAGGAGTTTGTCCCCCCAAATGAACCAAAGATGGGGGTTTTACCCCAAAATGAAGGGGGGAAGCCCTAATGCTGTGGGATCCATCCAAACCTGCTGCATCCCCACACCTATGGGGCACTGCAGCAGGTTTGGGATGCCTGAGGTCTGCCTCTGGCACAACCAAGATCAAGAGCCCCAAAAGTGAGGGTTTCACAGGGAAAAGAGGAGTTGGGGGGGGGGCACACAGGGTAAGTGTCCCCCAAACACACCTGTAGGGGCTCCAAAGGGAAATGAGGGTGTCTGCAATCCCAAATCCCTTAAAAGGGATTGCATCCCATTTCTTCATGGGAGCCCCTGAAGGGTCCTAAAACTACTCAAAGTGGGCCCAAAAGCGCTCAGATGAGCCCAAATCGCCTCAGAAAGTCCCCATCTCCACACAGGAGCCCTCAGACCCTTTGAAAAGCCCCAAATTCCCTCAGAGAAGCCTCGTAAGAGCCCCAAATGCTCCCAGACAGTCTCAAATCCCCATGCATGGTCCCAAACCTCCACGCAGGAGCCCCCCCAACCCCTCCGAGGGTCCCGAATCTCCTCATGGGAGCCCCAAAGCCCCAGGCAAGCTCCGGAGCCCCTCAGGTACCCGCAGGGGAGGCCCCAGCGGCCCCACAAAGCCCCAAAGCCCCCCCGGTGCCCCCAAGCCCCTCCCGGAAGGACCGAGCCGGCCCCGGCCCCGGCCCCGCCGAGGCCTCCCTCACCCCCATGGCTGCGGAGCGCGGCTCCTCTCGCGGCGGGGGCGCGGACAGGACTGAGGGGACGCGCGCGGGAGCGCGCCCTATATATGAGGGGGGGGGGCGGTGGTGATGGTGGAAGAGCGCCGTTACGCGCATGCGCGTTGTGTTGGAGCGAGCGGGGAGGGGCAACGAGGGGCGGGGCGAGAGGCTGCGCGTGCGCAGTAGAGGGCAGGGGGAGCCGGCGCGTGGAGGCGCCTTTGGGCGCGAAGGCAGCTCGGCGCTGATTGGCTGAGAGGGCCGAGGGGGCGGGACCGTGGGGAGCTGAGGGGTGCGGCGCCATGGAGGGGACGCGGCGGACAGGTCTGCCCTATAGCCCTGCCCCATAGCGGGCCATGACCCATAAACCTGCCCCATAGAGCGGGCCATGACCCGTAAACCTGCCCCATAGAGCGGGCCATGACCCGTAAACCTGCCCCATAGAGCGGGCCATGACCCGTAAACCTGCCCCATAGAGCGGGCCATGACCCGTAAACCTGCCCCATAGAGCGGGCCATGACCCGTAAACCTGCCCCATAGAGCGGGCCATGGCCTGTAAACCTGCCCCATAGAGTGGGCCATGACCCATAGCCCTGCCCTATAGAGCTGGCCATGACCCATAAACCTGCCCCATAGAGTGGGCCATGACCCATAGCCCTGCCCTATATAGCTGGCCATGACCCATAAACCTGGTCCAGGGTGGGCCATGACCCATAAACCTGCCCCATAGAGTGGGCCATGGCCCATAAACCTGCCCCATAGAGTGGGCCATGACCCATAAACCTGCCCTATAGAGCTGGCCATGATGCATAAACCTGCCCCATAGAGTGGACCATGACCCATAAACCTGCCCCATAGCGTGGGCCATGACCCATAAACCTGCCCTATAGAGTGGTCCATGGCCCATAAACCTGCCCCATAGCACAGACCCACAGCCTGCAGCCTGCCCCATAGCCCAAGCCCACAGCGTGGACCCACAGCCTTCAGCTTGCCCTATAGCCCAGACCCGTGGCTTCCCCCATAGACCAGGGCCATAACTCCACCTCATAACCCTGCCCCATAGCATGGACTTGTGGGCCACAGCCTGCCCTATAGCCCGGACCCACAGCCCTCAGCCTGCCCTACAGCCTATAACCCTGCCCCACAGCCTGGCCCCATAGTACAGGCCCAAGGACCCTGGCCTGCCCCATAACACTGCTCTATGGCCCTACCCCACAGTCTGGCCCCACAGCCCTGGGCCTGCCCCATAACCCTGCCCCACAGCCCTCCGGCTGTCCCATAGTTTGGCCCCATGGCCACTCCGGATAGCCCTCAGCCCACCCCACTGCTCTACTCCATAGCCCTGTCCCACATCTGGCTCCACAGCCCTTGGTTTGCCCCATTGCCCTGCCCCACAGCCCTTGGGCTGCCCCATAACCTTGCCCTATAACTGGCCCTGCCACATAGACCTCAATCTGCCCCATAGCCTGGCCCACAGCCCTGCCTAAGAGCCCTGATGCCAGTCCCCAGCCAACCCCTGAGCCCTGCCCTACAATGGCCCCATAGTCCTATGTCCCACAGTCCATACCCAGCCCCCAGCTAGCCCCATAGCCTGCCCCATAGCCCATCCCCCAACACAGCTGCACTCCCAGGACCCCCCATAGGGGTGAGTGTGAAGCGGGGGGTGACAGGGAGCTGTGAGGCAGGGAATGGGGGGGATCCCCATAGCGGGACACCCCAAAACCCTGCAGCAGCCCCAAATGAGGCCCACAGCAGCCCTAGAGGCCCAAGCCCCACAGTCCTTACCCAGCCCCACAGCAGCCCCTTTATCCCCCCCAGCCCTTTGTTCCCATCAGCTACACTCTGGGGGGGGAGGGCGGGGGTGTTACACAGCCCCTATGCCCCCACCATCTATGGGTCCCAGCCCCACCGTGGGCTCTCTGTGGGGCCGGCCCCCCCCAGCCCCCCCGTGCTGCCGGCGGAGGGGTACGCAGGGGGCGGGAAGGGGGGGGTGTGCTGAGGCCGGGGGAGCTGGAACTACTTTGGCACCATCAGGCGGCGGGAGCAGCCGGCGGCGCTTTGTGTGGGTGCTGGTGGGAGCCGAGACCCCCCCAAAGACCCCCTCCCCCTGACCCCCCCCTTATCCCCCCCTTTGGATTTTGGGGTGAAATTTCTCCTTTCTGGGGTCCTCCCTGACCCCCCTCATGCCTCCCCCTCCCCATAGCGCAGCCGAAGCTCAAGTTTGCTGTGGGGCAGCAGGGCTGAGCCCCCCGCTCCTTATGGGGCACCATTGATGGGGGGGGTTCACCCGAGCCCCCCCCGCTCCGTGCTCCGCAGGCGATGCCCTCGGGGATGGAGAATCCCTCGGGAATCCTGTCCCGGAGCCGCGCCAGGGCCGTGCCCGGCGGCGCCCCCCCCTCCGAGGACGAGGACAGCGCGGACGAGCGCAGCCACGGTGAGTGCCCCCCCCCCATGGGCGCGCTTGGGCCCCCCCAAACCGCCCCCCCCCCCCATATGCCCCATGCGTGTGCAGGACACACGTGTGTGTGTGTGCGGGGGGGGGGTGTCTGTGTCATTGTGTCACCCCCCCCTCCATGGGGGTGGTTTGGGGGGGGGCACACACACACCTATAGGGAGATGGGGGGGAACAAAGCCCTGGCCCCATTGTCCCCAGCGCCCGCGTGTGCGCCGGCCGCCCCCTTTGTTTGCTGGGGTGGAGGGGACCCAGTGCTGGGACCCCCAGATCTTCGGGGGGGGGGGTTGTGAGGGAGACACCCCCTTAACCCTGACCCCCCCGTTGGACCCCTATTCCCTCCCATTAACCTCCATATCCCCCCCTTTCCCTCTCTCTCCCCCCCTCCCCAGACAGCATGATCCGGGTCGGGGCTGACTACCAGGCGGTGATTCCTGACTGCAAACCAGGTAGGGACCATCGGGGTGGGGTTATGGGGCTACAAGGGGGGGGTCCCCCCTTTCTGACCTCTTCCACCCCCCCTCCCCAGAGAGCCCGGCTCGCTACAGCAACAAGGAGCTGAAGGGGATGCTGGTGTGGGCCCCCAATCACTGCGTCTCCGATGCCAAACGTGAGCACCCCCCCCTCGGGGGGCGGGGGGGGGCGGTTATGGGGTGTTTCCCACCCCCTGACCCCCCCTTTACCCTCCAACTCTCTCTTTGCCCCCTCCCAACCTCCCTTTCACCCCTCAAACCATTTACCCACTCAACACCCTCTTCACCTCCGTAAACCCCCCATAACCCCCTCTAACCCCCCAAACCGCCTTTCCCCCCACTCTTACCCTCTAACCCCCCATTTACATACCCAACACCCCCTTTACCTCCCCTATTTCCCCATGAACACCCCCATAACCCCCTAAAACCTCCTTTAATCCCCCAAACCCCTTTCACCCCCCCTTTAACCCTTCAGTGGACAAATACATCGCCATGGCCAAGGACAAACACGGCTACAACATCGAGCAGGTATTTCTGCCCCCCCAACCCGCACAGGAGCCCCCCAGGGTGCACCCCCAACCCTTTCCTTACCCCCCCCCCCCCCGTTTTCCAGGCTCTGGGAATGCTGCTGTGGCACAAGCACGATGTGGACAAGTCCCTGGCTGACCTGGCCAACTTCACCCCCTTCCCGGACGAGTGGACGGTGGAGGACAAGGTGCTCTTCGAGCAGGCTTTCAGCTTCCATGGCAAGAGCTTCGCCCGCATCCAGCAAATGGTGAGGGACCCCCAAGCCCCCCCATTCACCCCAACCCGCCCTATTCACCCCCAAAACCCCCAGCTCCTTTCCTATGGGAGGACATGTGGTTTGGATCCATCCCCATGGCGCTGGGCTGGGTGTTGCTGCCCCTATGGGACCCCAGGGAGATGGGGGACCCCACTGGGACCCCCCCATGGGGTTGAGGTCGTTCGTGCCACCCCAATTCCCCACCCCTTTAAGGGTGGTAGGTGCCACCCTGACCCCCCCATACAGAGTAAGTGCCACCCTTTTCTCCCCCCCATTAGGAAATGGTACATGATAACCCTAGAACCACCCCCATAGCGGATGGTAAATACCACCCCCTGCCCTCCCCCCAGCAGATGGTACTTGCCACCCCCTGGCCCTGCCCCAACTGGTGTCCCCCCATTTCTATAGGTGCCCCTCCCCCAGTTCTAGGGGTCCACATTTCCCCCCCTCCGTTTTCAGGGGGTTCACCCCCATTTCTATCCCCCCATATTTACTGCCCCCTTCATCTCCCCTCTCTTTATTTATGGGATCACCCCCTATTTTTACCCCTTTTTCTCCATTTAAGAGGGCTCCCCCTATTTCTCCTCCATAATTTATGGGGTCCCCCCATATTCCAAACCTACCCCTCAATTTCAAGCGGCTTCCTCCCCATTTCCCATGGGGCTTCCCCCATTCCAAGCCCTTCCCCTCCCCTTCTTCACCCCAACCCCCCCAAAACTCACGCCCCCCTCCCCATTCCCCCCCCCTCCATTGCCCATTCCCAGCTTCCCGACAAGCTCATCCCGAGTCTGGTCAAGTATTATTATTCCTGGAAGAAAACCCGCTCCCGAACCAGCGTCATGGACAGGCAGGCCCGGAGGCTGCTGGGGCGCAAGGACCGGGAGGACAGGTACCCCCCAACCCCCCCAGCACCCAAACCCAACCATAAGCACCCTAAAATCCACCTGTAGCACAGAAAACCCATCCCCAGTGCCCCCTAAAGCCCCTTTCCGGCCCCATTTCCATAGCAATGACGAGACCGACGACCCCCATCCCACTCTCGATGGGGACATGGAGGCAGTGGACCCCAAAAAAGAGGTTTGAAAGTGGGGGGGGTGTGAACGATGGGGCCCAAGGGGTTTGGGGGTGTCCCACTGCCGCCATTGAGCCCCACATCCGCCACTGCAGCCCCCGTACCCCAGACCCTGCACCCGGAAGGAGCCTCAGTACCGGCACCACCTCCCCCCCCGGCACCGCCGCCGCCCCCCCCGCGGGATGCACTTGAGCCGCGAGGCCGTGGCCGGCGTCACCTCCAACCCCGAGCTGGGCGCCGCGGGCCTGCGCCAGCTCGACTGCCAGCTCGTGTCCCTCAAGCGGCAGGTACGGACCTGACCCCCCCCCCGGATCCATGGGGTGCCCCCTAAGCTGGGGGTGACTCGTGCGTGTCCTCCCCTATAGGTGCAGCGGATCAAGCAGATCAACAGCGGCCTCAAGCAGGCTTTGGAGGGCGGTGTGGAGGGGCTGCGCCCACCCGAGGTGGGACTGGGGGTGCTTGGGTGACCCCATGTGCTCCACGGTGTCCCTGCCCTGCCCTACAGTGTCCCCTCGTGCCCCATGGTCCTGCCCCACATCACCCCACACCCCCTGTCCCCGCAGGGCACTGGCAAGTTCAGCTCCCGCTGGACGACGGACGAGCAGCTCCTGGTGGTGCAGGGTGAGACCCTCCTTGATGCATGAACCTCATTGACCCCCTTGTCCTAACTGACCCCCCTGAGCCCCCTTTGCCGCCCTGACCCGCTGCCCCCCCCCAGCCCTGCGCCGCTACGGCCGCGACTTCCCGGCAGTGGCGGGGGTCCTGGGGAACAAGACCCCGGCCCAGGTCCGGAGCTTCGTGGGGGGCACCCGGCGCCGCTTGGGCCTCACGCGGCTCCTGCGGGAGCTCCCCGGGGGGGACAGGGACGAGCCCCCCGCGGGGCCCCCCCCGCAGGGGCAGCGGCGGCAGCAGCAGCAGGAGGAGGAGGAGGAGGAGGAAGAGGTGAGTGGGGGGACTTGTGGGGAGCGGGGTCCGGCGCCGGTTCCAGTCCTGGCCACGCCCCCAGCACACCCATGGCCACGCCCCAAGCTCCATCCATGGCTCTGCGCCTGCTCACACCCAACCAGGACAAGCCCCGCCCCATGGAGGCCGCGCTGCCTGTCACTCCTTGCCCCGCCCACTGTGAGTTAGCTCCTCCCCCAAGCCCTGACCCCCAGCCCCGGTCCATCCCTAGCCCCTCCCATCCCCGCCCACCACAACGGGGGTCCAATCAGGTTCTGGCCCCGCCCCCCGCCTGACCCCACCTCTCTCCCGCAGGTGCAGATCACCGGGGTCTCCCGCCCGGCCCCGCCCCCTCCGCCGTCCCCCTCGCGCCCCCCGCAGCCCCCTCCTCCCCTCCTGCGCCCGGCCCCTCCCCCCCCGCCGGGGCTCCCGCTGGGCCGGGCCCCGCCCCCGCTGCTCCGGCCTGGCCACGCCCCCGCCGCCAGACCGCGTCCCCCTGCTGCCGGGCACGCACCGCCCCGCTGAGCAGCCCTGGCCCCCGCCGCAGCGCCCCCTGCTGGGCGGGGGGACCCCCAGTGCGTGTTCGCAATAAAGGTATTTTACTAGAGCCGGAGCACTGGGAACACTGGGACGGGACCGTGATGTGCTGGGAGCGCTGGGTTACAGTGACAGTGCTGGCTTGTACTGGGAGTCCTTGTCCATGATGGGAGGATTGGTCTGTACTGATTTGCACTGGAAGCATTGGCTTGTATTGAGCCAAACTGGTCAATACTGGGAGCCCTTGTTTGTACTGGCCTATACTGGGCACCTTGGTCCATACTGTTGGCACCACTCAGAGCCAAGGATCTTTCTGGAAAGGTTTTACTCTAGAACCTGCCCCCCCCAGGGCCGGGAAGGGGCAGGGCCTGCAGAGGGGGGCGGGGCTACAGCAGGTCACGTGATCACACCCCACCCCACCCCCCCCAGGGGCCTTCCTGAGTGCAGAGGGAAGGGCAGGACCCCCCCAAGGCCACCGTGGGGTCACCTGGGGACAGGGAGACCCTGGGTTGTCCCCATGTGACCTCAGAGCACCCCCCTTGGCCTTGGGCCACCAGGATCCCCACCACAGCCCAGGGCCACCAAAGGTACCTCCATGAGACCCTGAACCACGTGAGATGGCCCTGGGCCTCCAGAGGTGTCCTCGGGGGTGGCCCCAGAGGGGTCTCGGCCACCAAAGCCCACAATGCCCCAGAGGTCCCTTGAGGATGTCCCCACAAGTCCCCAGGTAGCCCCGTCCTATGTCACAATGTCCCCAGCGGTGCCTCGGCCACCTGGGATGGGCTCGAGGAGGTCGCTGGACCACCAAGGAGGGCCCTGGAGCCACCCCCAGTGCTCGGGATGGCCCCATCCCTCGGCCCAACGGCCCCAGAGGTCCCAAAAGTCCATCCAGAACGGCCCCAGAGTTCCCTTGGAGGTTCCCTTCCTCCTCGAGCCATGGCGTCATCCCCAAGGCGAGGGGTGGGCGCCACCGGTTGCCACTGGTTGATGCCAGTTGACACCGGTTGACGCCTGCTGCCGCTGGTTGATGGTGCTCGATACCAGTTGCCGTGTCCACCCTCGGGGGGGCTCAGAGCTTGAGCTCATTGGCCACTTTGGAGGCGATGTTCTTGAAGGCCATGGAGGTGCCGGCGATGCGCTTGAAGCGGACGCCGTTGAGGGAAAGGCGCGGGAGTTTGCAAACCTCCATCTCCCACTGCACGAAGGAGTCGTGGCCGGGGGCACCGTGGGCACAGAGCAGCACGAAGCGCTCCTGGGGCTCGCAGCGGCAGCTGTTGGCATCCAGAACCTTCCGGATCTCCCGCAGCATCTCGCCGGGCTCCAGGGAACTCGTGGTCTTCATGCTCCACGTGAAGCGCAAGGAACGGGGTTTGACGTCGCGGCCGGCACCGTCCCGCGGGTCCTTGTCCGGAGCCACCGAGGGTCTGCGAGGACGGACAATGGGGTCAGGGGGGTGGTGGAGCCTGGCACCGGGAAGCAGTCGTGGGGATGGCATCAGGATCAATCGGGTGGCTCTGGGTGGCACCAGGAGCAGTATGGAGGATCCTGGGTGTCACCGGGACCCCATGGAGTCAGGGATTATGGCAATGCTTGGGTGGCACACGGACCCCACAGACACCAAGACCGGTATGGAGGTGTTGGGGACCCAACAGATGGCACTGGGACCAGTACGGAGGCCTTGGGTGGCTCATGGGTGCCACCAGGAGCACTATGGAAACCCCTGGGTGGCACAAGGGCCCCACAGACACCAAGACCAGTATGGAGGTGTTGGGGACCCAACAGATGGCACTGGGACCAGTACGGAGGCCTTGGGTGGCTCATGGGTGCCACCAGGAGCACTATGGAAACCCCTGGGTGGCACAAGGGCCCCACAGACACCAAACCAAAACCCAACAACACTGGGACCAGTACGGAGGTCCTGGGTGCCCCATGGATGCCACCAGGAGCACTATGGAAACCCCTGGGTGGCACAAGGGCCCCACAGACATCACCATGGGACTGTGGAGGTCCTGGGTGCCCCATGGATGGCACCAGGAGCACCATGGAGGTACTGTGGGTGTCCCAGGGGTGTCCCCAACGCCCCCCCCCCGCTCACCTCAGTGTCTCCACCCGGTCCTTGCTCTCGGGCTCGTGCGGGTTCCTCAAGAAACAAGAATTTGGGGGGATGAAATCAATGGGGGGGATGGGGGAGGGAATGGGGGCAGCCCCCCCCCCCCGCACCCAGACAGCACGGGGGGGGGCGGGGACAGGGGAGGGGCCAAGGGGGATACACGCGGACAGACACACACACACAGGGACAGACAGCAGCAGCCGAGCGGGGCTGGGGCCATGCGGGGCTGTGCAGTGACAATGGGGGGGCTTGGGGGACATGCGGGGGGGTGGCACCGAGCACCCAAGGGACACCAGCACCCAAGGGACACCAGCACCCAAGGGACACCAGCACCCAGCACCCTACCTTCTGGCAAACCTGAAAGACAGATTTCTACAACGACAAACAGAAGAGAAGGGCGACGTTGGGGGCGGGGGGAAGGGAGGGAAGAGGGGAGGGACCTCCCCAATCTGGATGTCACCCCCCCCCCCCCCATTTCAGCCCCCCCCCCCCCCAGTGGAAGATGCTGCAGGAGAAGCTGGGATGAATCCCCCCCACAACCTCAAGCTGTCACCTCCCTCCTTTATGGGGTGGCCCAGGAACAGGAGGGGACATGGGGGGGTCCCTGAGGGGGTGGGAGGACAGGAGGAGCACTGGGGGGGGACACACAGTGGGGTGATAGAAGAGGACTGGGGAGACAATGAGGGACATGGAAGAACTCTGGGGGGGGACGGACATGCAGGAACCTGGGGGACAAGGGGTGTAGGGACACATGGAGACCCCCCAGGGTCACAGAAGACCCCTGGGACAGGGCAGGGACACGGAAGGGACACACATGGGGACAAGGGAGCACACAGAGCATCCCAGGGGGGTGAGGGGACACGCGGGGGGGGCTGGAAGGGTGATACAGGGACACAGAGAGGACACAGAGGGTCCCCAAGGTGCTGTGTCCGGTGACACGCATGGAGCAGACGCACACGAGGGCAAGGGAATGCACAGAGGAGCCCTGGAGGCACAAGGGGACATGGGGGGGAGGGGGGACACGGGGACGATGACACCGAGGGCCCGCAGGGGTCCATGTGTGCAGCCCAGGGGTCACAGCAGAGGGGACACACACGGGGGACGCACACGGGGCTGACCCCATCCCCCCCCCCGGTGCTCACCTCCGCACGAACTTGGAGGTGAATTTGCTGAAGAGGCTGGAGCCGGGGGGGCCGCGCCGGCCCTGGCTGGCTCCGGAGGGCGACGGGGGGGGCCCGAGGCCGGGGGGCGCGGGGGGCAGCGCGTAGGGCAGGCCCGGCTGCTCGCGGCCCCGCAGCTGCCCCGCGTGGAACGTGCTGCGGCTCGAGACCCCCCGCGGGAAGCTGGGCCGCTCCCCCCCGGCCTGGCTCACGTTGTGCGCGGAGGGGGAGGCGGCCGGCACCCGCCCGGGGGCGCTGCGGGGGGGGGAATGGGGTTAATGGGGGGCAATGGGAGCAACACGGCAGCCCCGGGACCCCAACGGATAGCGGGGATGGGTTGGCAACACACAGCACACCACAGCACACACCCGCACCCCATAGCACACACCAGCACCCCACTGCACCCCATAGCACACACCGGCACCCCACTGCACCCCAGAGACACCCACTGAACCCCATAGCACACACCAGCACCCCACTGCACCCCAGGGACACCCACTGAACCCCATAGCACACACCAGCACCCCACTGCACCCCATAGCACACACCAGCACCCCACTGCACCCCAGGGACACCCGCTGAACCCCATAGCATGCACCAGCACCCCACTGCACCCCAGGGACACCCGCTGAACCCCATAGCACGCACCAGCACCCCACTGCACCCCAGGGACACCCGCTGAACCCCATAGCACACATCAGCAACCCAGGGACACAAGCACCCCACTGCACCCCGGGTTCACACCAGTACACCATTGCACCCCAGAGCATCCCACTGAAATTCAGGGACACCCCACTGCACTCCGGGGACCCCTGACAGCATACTGGGAATGTGCTGGCACCCCACAGCACCCTGGGGACCTGACAGGGACACACAGCACCCCACTGCTCCCAGCAGCAGGCAGAGGCCATGCCAGCACCCAACAGCACCCTAGAAACACGCTGGCACCCCACAGCACCCTGGGGACATGCAGGTGCCCCACAGCACCCCAGTGACCCACTGGCACCCCACAACACCCCAGACCCCCCTAGAGGGTGTCCCCCCCATAGCACACAGGAGGTGGGGGGGGGGCCTTGCCTGGGCCGGGGGGGGTCGCAGTTGGCGTCGGTGGCTTTCGGGTGCTGGCGGGTGCGGGGGGGAGCGCCAGGGGCCGGGGGGGCGGCGGGTGAGGGCCGGCAGCCTGGCGTGGGGAGGCTAGGAGAGAAAAGCGGGGGCTGGGGGGTGGGATGGGGAGTGGGGGGTCCGGGGGGGGGTTGGGGTGGGGGTGGGGGTGGGGGTGCGTACCTTTCCTTGCCGTTCTGCAGCGAGCTCTGGCCCAGGCTGGCTCGATCCAGCAGCGGGGAGTTCCGGCTCCGCGTGGTGCCGGTGGAGAGGACGCTGTTCTGTTGGGGGGGGGACACACACGGTGAGGGTCACGTGATGGAGACACAAAAAGCAGGGGGTCCGGTGTGGGGACCCCCCCTCCAATGGAGGACTTGGGTGTTTGGGGCCCCTCATGGGAACCAGGGCGCTCAGCAGGGGTGCAGGGGCTTGGCCCCATCACACAAATGGTTCCCACCCCCTCACCCCCCCCCCCGATGCCACCCATGGGTGCCCCCCCCTGCACTGACCGTGGAGGGTGAGGGGGTGCCCTTGGCTCGCTCCAGGCTGGGCAGGGGGCTGGGGGGCACCTTGGCCGTGCTGCCTGCCCGGCGCCCCCCCTCCTCCTCTGTGCCCCCCCTCTTGTTCTCCGCGTTGGCCGCCTGCGTCTTCTTGGAGTAGGAGGCCGAGGTGGGGATGGAGAGGCCGGCTGGGGGGGGAAGGTAAAATGAGGGGGGCCCATGGGGACATCACCCCCCCTTGGACCCCACCGCCTCACCCCCACCCCACCCCTCAGGGATGTGCGCTCCCCCCTCTACAGAGCCATGCTCCCACCCCATAGGGACCCCCCTGAGCACTGCTATCCCTGCACCCCCAGGACCCCTTTCTCCCAGGGGATCCATACCTGGGACCCCCCCTTTCTGCCATGGGATGGGGGCACCCCCCTTGTCCCCCCCTCACCCCGCGGCGGGGCTCACCCTGGTCGCTGACGCGGCGTTTGGGGTTGGCGGAGACGCTGCGCTGGACCTTGTGCGCCGGGGACGGCCCCGAGCTGTTGGCGACCTCCGGGGCAGGCCGGGGCTTCAGGGACAGGCTCTCCTCCAGCTGCGGGGACAAGGGGACACACGGGGACATGGGGGAGCATGGGGATGGGGACCCGACACGTGCAGGGCCAGGGACGCGCTGGCACCGGGCACAGCTGGGGATGGGGACAGGGACGCGATGGCACGGGCAGGGCGGTGACCCCCCCTGCTGTGCTCCCTCAATGCCCCCTTGTTGGCCCCATGGGGCTCCTCTCCTCTGCTCCAGCACATCCATGTTGTTCCTCGTGTCCCCTTGTCCCCTCACCCCCTCCTCTGTTCCCTGCCACATCCATGTCCCCACACTCCTCATTGTCCCTGTGTCCCCTCAGCCCCATCATGCTCCTTGTCATTCCCATGTCAAGCCCTCTGCTCCCTATCACATCCATGCTCCCATTGTGCTCATGTCCATGTTGTCATTCCTACGTTCCTTGTCCCCAAATCCCCTCCACATCCCCCGCTCTGTCCCCATCACCCTCATGTCCCCTCCTTGTCCCTCATCATTCCCATGTCCCTCCTCACGTCCCCTCCATGCTCCATCCCACCCACATCCCCTCTCCCCTGGGTCACCTCTCCCTGGTGTCCCCACGTCCCCTGCACCCCTGTGGTGTCCCCACTGGCCCCGCACCTCCGAGCTCTTGTGGTCCAGCAGCAGGTAGGTGGCCATCACCTCGTTGTACTTCTGCCCCACCAAGGACTCCTGGATCTCCTCCCGCGTGTACCCCATGGACACCATCAGCTCTGGGAGGGGGGACACAGGCCTCAACGGGGACCCCCACATCTGGGGGACCCCCTACCCCTCAAAACGTCACGGGGGGGGGTCCTACCTGTCCTCCGGGGGTCCTTGTAGTCTGGCACAGGTTCCATGTACGGCTTCAGCTCATCGTCCTCGTGGCCCACGTTCATCCAGCGGTCCTTCATGATTTGCTGCAAGCGGGGGGCAGGACACCAGAAGGTGGGGTTTGGGGGTCCCAGAACCACCATGGGGTGACCAGAAGGTCCTGAGTGCTCTTGGGGGTGACCAGGATCACATACAAGGGGGTTGGGGTGTCCAAAGTAGCTGGAATCAGGTTGTGGGTCCCCAGGACCACACTGAGGGTGCTTGGAGGGACCAGAGGTGCCCAGGACCACATTGGAGGTAGGTGCTATGGGTGTCCAGGACCATGCTGGGTGCCATTCAGGGACATCCAGGACCACTTTGGGGGGTCCCAGCACCATGTTGAGGGTGCCCAAGACCATGCTGGGGGTGCCCTGGAGGTCCCAAGGGTGTGCAGGACCATACTGTTGGATGCACCTGCACCATGCTGGGGGTCTTGGGGTGCTCTCGGAGGTGCCCAGGACCCTGCTGGGGGTGCTCCCATGGGTGTCCCGCCCACCCCACCAACCCCCTCACCTCCAAGGTGCCCCTTTTGGTAGGATTAAGGATGAGGAACTTCTTGAGCAGGTTCTCGCAGTCGGTGGACATGTAGAAGGGGATCCTGTACTTGCCCCGCAGCACCCGCTCCCGCAGCTCCTGAGGTGGGAAACACTCATTGGAACACCACAACCGCCCCAGGGATCCCCCCGGGACCCCCAGAACTGGACCTTACCTTCAGGTTCTGCCCATCGAAGGGCAGGGAGCCACTGACCAGGGTGTAGAGGATGACCCCCAGGCTCCAGACGTCCACCTCGGGCCCGTCGTACTTCTTGCCCTGGAAGAGCTCGGGGGCTGCGTACGGGGGGGACCCACAGAACGTGTCCAGCTTGTTCCCAAACGTGAACTCGTTGCTGAAGCCAAAATCAGCGATTTTGATGTTCATGTCGGCGTCCAGCAGCAGGTTCTCAGCCTGGCCCAGGAAGGAGAGCACCCAAAAGGGCTTTAGGGGGGTTTGGGTGCTGCTGGCACCTCCCAGAGGGTGCCAGGGACACATAGGTGCAGCCACGGGGGTCTCAGGCATGTCTGGGTGCTGCCATGGGGGGGGGTCCCAGGAACACCCAGGTGCCACCCAGGAGGGTGGGGGAGCACCCCTGGGTGCTATTGGACATGCCAGGGGTGTCAAGGGGTGCAAGTGGGGGGCTCCTCACCTTCAAGTCCCTATGGACAATGAACTTCTGGTGGCAGTACTGCACGGCCGACACTATCTGCAGGAGATGGGGGTGTCAGGGGGGGATCCCCAGCCCCCTGGGGACACAGGGGGGGGCCCCAAACCCTGCTGGGGGGTGCCACACCCACATCCCCCTCCTGACCTGTCGGAACTTGGCCCGGGCTTCCTTCTCCTTCATGCGCCCATGGGCTACCAGGTAGTCAAAGACCTCACCTGGGGGGGGCACAACGGGGGTGAGAGGCAGCTCTGCCTGGTCCCTGCCTGCTGCCCCCCCTCTGCCTGTTCCCTGCCTGCTGCCCCCCCTGCTCACCCCCACTGGCGTACTCCATGACCAGGTAAAGCGTCTTCTCCGTCTCAATCACCTCGAAGAGCTTCACTGCAAAGGGGACAAAGTGGGGCTGCAGAAAGGGGAGACCCCTCCCAGGGTGCTGGGGTGTGACGGGGGCACACGGGAAGTGCTGGTGTGCAGGCAGCGGGGGGCTCACCTATGTTGGGGTGGTTCAGGACCTTCATTATTCGCACTTCCCGGAAGAGCTGTGAGGAAACAGGGAGGAAAAGGGGGGATGAGGGGGTGGGAGATGCCACAACCCCCCCTTGTGCCCCCCCCGCCCCAGGCCCCCCACTCTGACCTTCTGTAGGCTGGAGGAGTTGAGCTGCGTCTTGTCAATGATCTTCACAGCGACCTGGGGGGGTGGGGGGGGGGTGGGTGTCAGGGATGTCCCCAAGCGTCCCCGCACTGTGCTGGTGCTGGGGGTTAGGGGCAGGGGTGCAGCATTGCCCCAGAGCTGTCCCCACATGTGGTGGCACCCACAAGACAAGGATCACGAGCCCATCCCTGTGGTGGCACCCATGGGACAAGGACCAGGAGCCCAGAACTGTCCCCACACTGTGGTGGCACTTGTGGGGCAAGGACTATTCCTGCACCATGGTGGCACTCAGGGCCAGGAGCCCATAGGTGTCCCCTCAGAGTAGTGGCACCCACAGGACAAGGATCATGAGCCCATCTCTGTCATGGCACCCATGGGACAAGGACCAGGAGCCCGAACTGTCCTCGCACTGTGGTGGCACTCAAAGGACAAGGATCACAAGTGGTGGCATTCATGGGGTGAGGACTGGAAGCCCACAGCTGTCCCCACACCACAGTGACACTCACTGCTGAGGAGCAGGACCCCATCTCTGTGTCATGGTGGCACTCACAGCACCCAGAGCTGTCCCCACACCACAGTGACACTGCTGAGGAGCAGGACGTGTCATGGTGGCACTCACAGCACCCAGAGCTGTCCCCACACCACAGTGACACTGCTGAGGAGCAGGACCCCATCTCCGTGTCATGGTGGCACTCACAGCACCCAGAGCTGTCCCCACACCACAGTGACACTCACTGCTGAGGAGCAGGACCCCATCTCCATGTCATGGTGGCACTCACAGCACCCAGAGCTGTCCCCACACCACAGTGACACTGCTGAGGAGCAGGACCCCATCTCCGTGGCATGGTGGCACTCACAGCACCCAGAGCTGTCCCCACACCACAGTGACACTGCTGAGGAGCAGGACCCCATCTCTGTGTCATGGTGGCACTCACAGCACCCAGAGCTGTCCCCACACCACAGTGACACTGCTGAGGAGCAGGAGCCCATCTCCGTGTCATGGTGGCACTCACAGCACCCAGAGCTGTCCCCACACCACAGTGACACTGCTGAGGAGCAGGACCCCATCTCTGTGTCATGGTGGCAATCACAGCACCCAGAGCTGTCCCCACACCAGTGACACTGCTGAGGAGCAGGAGCCCATCTCCGTGTCATGGTGGCAATCACAGCACCCAGAGCTGTCCCCACACCATGATGGCACCCACAGGACAAGAACCACCTGAACTATCCCCACCCCATGGTGGCACTCACAGGCCAAGGACCAGGCGCCCATCCCTGCGGTAGCACTCCCAGGGTGAGGATCAGGAGCCCATAACCATCCCCATGCCATGGTGGCCAAGGACCGTGAACCCATCCCCTTGGTGGCCCTGTGGTCCCCACTTGCGGCCGAGGCGCAGGCGCCGGTCCCGGTGCCACGGTGGCCGCGGCAGCGCTGTTCCCGGTGCTGGCACTCACCTCCTTGCCGGTGAGGACGTGCCGGGCCAGCTTGACCTTGGCGAAGTTGCCTTTGCCGATGGTCTTGAGGAGCCGGTAGTTGCCGATGTGGGGCTGCTCCTCGGCCGCGCTGCCCGAGTTCCGGCCCCGCAGCATGTTGGGCTTCCCGACGCCCTTCCCCTCCCCGGGCTGCGGGGACACGGGGGGACAATGAGCTTGGGGGGAGGTGGGGTGGGGGGGTGCTGGGTGCGTCCCCCCCGTACAATTCCCAAAGGCGGCGGTGCGGGGCTGGAGGAGCAAAGTCCGGGAATGCCGTGTCCATGCGCCGCGCCCGGGCAGGCCGGGAGCCGCCCCCGATACCTGACGCAAGCGCCGTGGTTTCGGGCTGGCTTTGGGGGGTTTTGGGGGGACGACGGGGTGTCACCCTTCTTCAGCTGGGGGGCACAAAGACATGGCTGCCCCCTCCCCAAAACACCCTGATTTCACCCCCAAATTAACGGCAGAACCTTCAACCCATGGCTAAAACAAGGGGGGGCCCCCAAACCCCAACCACGCTGCACCCCAAAAGCACCCCCCACAATAAGCACGGGTTTAGGGGCACTTTACGGGGGTGTCCCCATGGGAAGGGAAGCGCCGGCGCCAAGCGGTGTCACCCCCCCTTGTGCTGTCACCGCTCCGGTGACACCGGAGATAACGGGAGCGCGTGAGCGGGTGAGGAAGTGGAGCCAAGTCCCCCTTTGGGATGAGGGGCATCGCAGCCCCCCCAGACCTCACTGGGGATGGGGGAGGGCACAGTCTTGGGGTGCCGCCCCCCGTGGGAAGGAACCCACTGGAGGGACGGGCAGGGGGTTGGGTGGAGTGGGTAATGGCACAACCGGGCACCCAGATTTGGGGGAAAAAAAGGCTGTTCTGGGGTCTGGGCTGAAGGGGGGGGGGGATTTTCCCCCTCCCCCCCCAATCCAACACTTTGAGGCTGCTGGGAAAAAGTGAAGGAAAACGGGGGTTTTGTGCCAAAAATCTGCCGTGGCAACGGGGCGGGGAGAGCGCTTCACCATCTGCCAGAGCCAGGGGCGTGCGGCGGCGCCGGCACCCGCTCCCCCCATTCCCGGGGGGGCCGTGGCACTCCCGGTGCTCCAGGGCCTCAGTTTCCCCCTGTCCCGTCCTGTCCCAGCCGGCTCCACGGGGAGGGGGGGGACTCACCGTGGGCGACCCCAACGCGGCCGAGCCCGCAGCGGTGCGGGCGCTGCCCAGGGGCCGTGGCGGAAGCTCCGGGAGTTCAGCTCCCCATGGAGCGCCGGGAGCGCCGAACCGGCTCGACCGGTTGGGGATGACGCCGGATGGGGCGGGAAGCAGCGGTTGGGGGGGGTTTGGGGTGAAAATGGGGTGGGAAAGGGGAAAAAGGAGACCCGTTGGGGCAGGAAGAGGATGGAGTGGTGGGAATTGGCACTGGAGTGGTCGTGGGGGTGATGTCACAGTGGCCAGGGGTGATGTCAAAGGGGCTGGGGGTGACATCACAGGGGTCAGGGTGACGTCACTGGAGCTGATGTCACTGGGGTTGGGGTGACATCACAGGCAGCAGGGGTGATGTCATCGGAGTTGGGGTGACATCACAGGGCCCAGGGTGACGTCACTGGGGTTGGGAGTGACAACACAAGGGTCAGGGGCAATGTCACTCCAAGTGGGGGTGACATCACAGGGGTCAGGGCGACGTCACTGGAGCTGATGTCACTGGGGTTGGGGTGACATCATCAGAGTTGGGGTGACATCACAGGGCCCAGGGTGACGTCACTGGAGCTGGAAGTGACAACACAGGGGTCAGGGGCAATGTCACTGCGATTGGGGGTGACATCACAGGAACCAGGAGTGACATCACTGTAGCTGTAAGTGATGTCACTGGGGCCAAGGTGAGGGCACCCTTTGGATCTAAAGATCCCAGCAGGAGGAGGTGCCGGTAACCAGGCACCGGCACCGGGTTAGGGTGTCCCTGTGTCCCCCCACAGAAGGTGCTGGAGCTGTTTAGGGGGGTCCCTATACCCCTGGGAGGTGCTGGAGCAGGTCCTGGGGGGTCCCTGTGCCCCCCACCACAGGTGCTGGAGCAGCTTTGGGGGGGGTCCCTGTACCCCCCCCACCACAGGTGCTGGAGCAGGTCCTGGGGGGGTCCCTGTGCCCCCCCACCAGAGGTGCTGGAGCAGGTCCTGGGGGTCCCTGTGCCCCCCCCCCGGAGATGCTGGAGCAGCTTGGGTGCTAAATGTCAGACAACTCAGTTATTTTTGGATCTCTCTCACATCCCAGCCCATGGTACACGATGGAGCTCATGGGGGGGCTGGGGGAGACACCCCAATTCCAGCTCTGGTTGGGGGATGGGAAGGACACGGAACCCCCCCATTGCCACCGCTGCCCCCTCCCCAATTCCTCCCCATCCAGAAATCATTCCCCTCGTTCCTTACGTAACAATAGGGAAAAACAGAGTGAAAAGCCCCAAAACGAGGAGGGGGTGGCCTGACGCCATGGTGATGGCCACGGAGCTGGGGGGGGGAGGAGGAGGGCGGCTAGAGGGGCACCACCTCTGTCCGGGGCACCCATACAATCCTCCCCCAAGCCCAGTGCAGCATCACAACAGGGTCCTTCACCACCACTTGGGGTGTCCCCCCGCAAACTGGGGGGGCCGTGCAGCTCTGGGGAAGCTGTGCCCCCCCCGAGCCATAAGTGGGGTCCCCCCAAATGAGGAGCTTCAAACCCAAGGGGGGGACATCCCCCTCCAACTGCCCCCCCCAAAAGGGATTTGGGGCTCACTGCCCCCGCCAACAGACATTGAGGGTGAACCCCCCCATCAATAGGGGTGCCGATGCCCCTACATCCCTTTAGGGGTGCCCTCCTCCAAGCCCCTTCCCCCCCTCCATAGCCCCTGTGCTGTGCAGCGCTGCCACCCCCACAGCCCGTTTTGGGGGGGCACAGCAGGGAAGGGGGTGGGCTCCCACCCCCACACCCCGCTCGCGCAGCCACCGAGGCGCTCACGGGGGGGGGGGGGGGAACGACACACACAGAGGCTGTGCCAACGGTGACACCCCCAAACCTCGCACCCCACAGCACGCACCAGACCCCACCGCTATGGGCAATGTGTGGGGCAGGGACCCCCCAACTGCCCCACATCTTTGGGGTGCAACCTGTGCCCCCCCCCACTTAGCCGCTGCAGAGGGGGTGCCTCTGTTCTGCCTCTCAGGGACACCACAAAGCACCCCCGGTCCCACAGCGGAGCCCCCAAGGGGCAGCCCTGGCCCCACATCCCTCATGGGGGGCTGGGCCATGGGGGGGCTGTGAGGAGCTGGGCCCCCCCCCCACCTCCTTGCAGGGGGCACACGGCACCGTTAGACCCTGCTTTGGGCTCTAGTGAAAGGCGCCAGGACCCCCCCAAGCCCCCATTTACGCTCAGAAAGCCCCCCCAGGCCCCTTCAGCCCCTTTTTCCCTTAGGGGGGGCCCAGAGCCCCTCAGCCCCCTCCCTCCTTTCTCCTCAGCGAACAGCCCGGGACCCCCTTGTCCCCTCACGAACGGGCCCAGGGCCCCCTCAGAGCCCTCCCAGCCCCCCCAGACCCCTATTTCCCCCCCTCAGACCCCCTTTCCCCTCGCAAACAGCCCGGCTCCCATCCAAACCCGCTCTTCACCGCACGGAATCACCCGGCTCCCCTCAGAGCCCTCTTCTTCCCCTCACAAACAGACCCGGCCTCACCCAGACCCCCACTGCCCTTCACTAAAACCACCCCAAATCCCTCTTTGCCCCCCACAAAGGAGCCCCCCGAGCCCCTCAGATCCCCCTTTCCCCTCACAAAACGCCCTCAGAGCCCATTTCCCCTCAGCCAAAGCCCCCCCATGCCCCTTCACACCCCACAAAACAGACCTCGGAGCCCCCTCATTATTTCCCTTCACAAACTGGACCCTGACCCCTTCGAGCACCACTTTCCCCTCACAGAACGGACCCTACGGCTCCCTCGACCCCACTTTCTCCTCATAAAAGACCCCCGGACCCCTCGGTCCCCGCTCTCCCCTCACACCCCGGCCCCAGCCCCGCATCGCCCCCGGGAACGGCCCCAGCCCCGCCGGACCGCGCTGCCCCCGGGGCCCTGCCCACCCCCGGCCGTACCTGCTCCGCGTCTCTCTCGTTGACAGTAGGCAGAGGGCTGCGACCGCTGTTCGACATGGCGAGCCCCCCCCCGCCACGGCCGCCGGCGACTATCGCGATAGGGAGAAGGAAGCCGCGGCAGGCGGTGTGCGGGGAGGGGGGGGGAAGGGAAGGGAAGCCCGGGCCGCGCTCAAGGAGCGGGGGGGGGCCAGGCCAGCGGCATGGGGGGGGCCGGGGCAGGGGCCGGGAGCGGAGAACGGGGGCAGGGGGGAGCGGGCGGCGAGTGCGCCCGGGGCGGCCGCCTCACACCGGCGCCTCCTCAGCAGCACCCAGCGGCTCCCAACATGGCCGCCGCCGCCGGCCCTCGGCCATTTCCGCCGCCGCGCCGGAAACACCCGACACGCCTCCTGCTCCTCTTCGGCTCTTTCCGGAGAGAGTCGGCTCCGTGCCGCTGAGCAGGGTTCGGGCGCTTCCGGCAGCGCTTCGGAATCATCCGATGCTTCCCACCGACCCCCTCCCGGCGCAAAGACTCGAAGACACCTTCGGCACTTTCCGCTGACAGCGGCGGAAACAGCCGAGCTCCACCTCCACCGCCCTTCCCCGAGTGGATCCGGAAAGAGCCGAACACCCCTCGGCTGCCATCGGGGCTGCCCGCTCAGTGACGGAAACACCCGACCGCAGCCGAATCCCCCCTCCCCGTTTTTATTGGAGACCCCAGTGGGGAACGGGGGGTCCGCGGCGGGGGGTCGGGAATTCCGGTGCTTTTCCGCAATTTTGGGTCCGCCAGGACCGCGGGCGATGCTGCGGGGAAGGGCGGGGTGGGGATGGAGAGGGGCTGCAGGGGGGGAGCATCCAGGGGCTCCCCCCTCTCCCTTCTGTGTCCCCCCCCAAAACCCTTTCTATAGCGGCCACGCTCTTTGTGGAGGGGGTGAGCTGAGACCATACCCCAACTCATCGCTGTCCCCATCCCCGCAGCCCCCCGGGGCGTGGCGGGTTTATTGGGGGGGGGGAGGCGGGGGGGATGGGAAAGGCGTGCGGCCCCTTTAAATTTACCCAGGAGCCCTTAAAGGAGCCCCAGGGGCCCCACGGCGGCGTCCCCACCCCGGTTGGCCCCTGCCCGCTGCCGCCGCTGCCGCCCCGGGCCCCGCCATGGACCCCCCGAGCCCCGAGCCCGGCCCCGACCCAGGCCCGCTCCCGGACCCCCCAGGTGAGACGGGGTGGGGGGGAGAGGGGGGGTGCGGACCCTTTAAGGGGACCCCTTAATACACAATGGGAGCGATGCTGGCCCTTTAAGACATGCCCCGGCCCCGGGGGTGTCTCCATCCCTTTGACAGCCCCTGTCATCGTTTAGGATGCCCCTGCCCCTTTAAGATGCCTCTGTTACTTTAGGATACCCCTTTCACTTTAAGGTGCTACTCTCTTTAAATACCCCCATCCAATTTGAGATGCCCCTGCCCCTTCAAGATGCTTCTATCATTTAAAGATGCTCCTCTCCATTTAAGATGCTCCCATCCAATCTGGAATACCCCTGTCCCTTTAAGATGCTCCTGTCCCTTTGAGGTGCTTCTGTCCCTTTAAAAATCTTCTCCCTTAACCATCCCCGTCCCCTCTGCCCTGCCCCTTTAAGGGCCCTGCCTTTGACAAGCCCCACCCCTTTTAAATCCCCCTTGACAAGCCCCGCCTCTTCACTTGCGCTGCCTCTTTAAGAGCCCCTTTTCTCCTTCAAGACCCCCCCAAGACCCTTCCATCCCCAGAGACCCCCCATATGCCCCCCAACACCCCCAAGGCTTTGCTGCCCCTGAGGACCCCAAAACCTCCCCCATCAGCATCCCCCCAGAAGACCCCAGGGACTCTCAGATGATTCCTCCTCCCTGGGGACCCCCATCCATGACATCCACGAGTCCATGAAGCCCCCCAGATCCCCTCCCCACCGCATCCATTAAGCCCCCATGCCCCTTCCATCCCCACAGACCCCCCCAAATCCCTCTCCCTCCCTCTCTGCGCAGCCTCCCCACCAGCGCCGGGCCTGCGGGGAGGCCGCCGGAGCTCGGATCACTGCGACGCCCGAGCCTCGCGCCCGGGCCGGAGCCGGATCCCGGGCCGGGATCACCGCCGGTACTACCACGAGCGGTGGCGCGCCGAGTACCTGATGGAGTTCAATGCGGCGCGGCACGGGATGCTCTGCCTCGTGTGCGGCAGCGCCCTCGCCACCCTCAAGCTCAGCACCATCAAACGCCACATCCGGCAGAAGCATCCCTATTCCGGAGCCTGGGGACCCCGCGAGAAGCAGCTCGTGCTCCGCTCCTGGGAGGCACATTTGGGGGTTCACCCCCACCCTGAGGGACCCACCCGAGGCACTGGGACAGGTAATGGGGGGCTGTGGTGGGAGGCCAAGATGTGGGGAGCGCTGATAGGGGTCCGTGGAGCTGGGGCCCTTTAAATGTGGCCACATCCACTTTAAAGGTGTGGAACCTTAAGTAGGGTCATGGCCCCTTCAAATGGGGTGGACCCCAAAGTGCAGGCATGGCCCTTTTAAATGTGGGAACTCTACAGTGGAGCCACGGCCCCTTTAAATAGGGGAGAACCCTAAAGTGGAGCCACACCCCCTCTAAATGGGCGACCCCCAAAGTGGAACCACACCCCCTTTAACTGGGGGGAACCCTAAAGTGGAGCCACGGCCCCTTTAAATATGGCCACACCCCCTAAAGCTGCTGCATGCCCTTTTAAGTAGAGGCCACGCCTCCCCTGATTGGACGCTCCTCCATAGGTGAGGTCGCACCCCCTTCAATGCTGCTCCATTTACAGCTTGGCCACGCCCCCATCGGCATTTAAAGGTGGGCTCCACCTTCTTTTACTCAGACCACACCCCTTCTAGTGCGCCTTTAAGACAAGCCACGCCCACCACTGTTTAGCTCCGCCCCCGCTTCAAGGGATGCGCTGGGTCTTAACGCAAGCCCCCCCCCGAGTGCCCGGTGCCCCCCCGTCCCCAAGGCCCCCCCCTCCAAACCACCACGTCCCGAAGGTGTCCCCAGCACCAACCCCTTATCCCCGCAGGCCCCCGCTCCCGTCCCAGCGCTTCCAAAGCCCCCCCCGCGGCCGCGGGCACCGGGGACTCGCTCCGGGGGTGGCTCCGGGCAGAGCTGCTCCTGGACCTGGAGGCGGGGGGCAGGCGCCTGCGCTGCCTCCTGTGCGCCCGGGCCCTGCCCTCGCTGCACCTCGGGGACATCCGGAGCCACGTCCTGGCCGCACACCCCGGAGCCCTGCGGCAGCGCCGAGCACCAGCGGGTCAGAGCTGGGGGGGGAAACGGGGGCACTGGGGACCTTGGGGCTGATGGGGACCATGGGGACACTGAGCACAAATGGGGACATCACGGGCAATGGGGATACAGGTGCCTATGGGGATGCTGAGGGTGTTGGGGACATCAGGGCAGTGGGGGCTATGGGGCCACCAGGGATAAATGGGGACAACGGGGAGACTGGGGGCAATGGGGATACAGGTACCTATGGGGATGCTGGGGGTGTTGGGGACATGAGGGGCAGTGGGGGCTGTGGGGATATGGGGGCACCAGGGATAAATGGGGACATCAGGGGCAATGGGGAATACAGGTAACTATGGGGACACTGGGGGTGTTGGGGACACGAGGGCAGTGGGAGCTGTGGGGATATGGGGACAATGGGGACACGAAAAGCAATGGGGTCACTGGTGGTAAATGGGGTGTGGGGGGGACACTGGGATGGGGGGACACACACAGGCGCTGTCCCTGCAGCCCTGCAGCCCCCCAGTCCTGAGCAGGAGCAAGGAGCCGCTGCTGAGGAGGAGGAAGAAGAGGAAGGGGGTGCGGGGGGGCGCTGTGGCCACCGGGGGCCCCCCCTCTTGTCCCTGCAGCCCAGGGCCACCCCTGCCTGCACCACCTGAGAGCCCGGGGCAGGGACACTGGGGGGAGTTGGCACAGAGACCCCCCCCAAAGTGCCACCTATGGGGGTGTGTGTCCCCCAGTGTCACTGCCCCCCCACCCCAGCATCACCCTATTTATGTGTATGTGTTCCTTTTGTACATGCATCCCATAATAAACCCGTCCCCACATGGAAGGACCTGTGGGGGGGGGAGCATTCAGGACCACACCGTGACAAGGAGGGGGGCACAACCACCCGTCGTGGTGCTTTATTGCTGCCACGTCCCCACAGGTGGCTCTGGGGGAGGGTCCCAATTCCCCCCCCCCCATAGATCTGGGGGGGGGGGGGGGGGGCGCAGTGCGGTTGGGGGGGGGAGGGGCTTTGCTCCCCTCCCTCCCCCGTTTACAGCAGTTACAGACATTTCACCTTAATCAACATTAAAAAAATAAAGGGGGGGGTGCGTTGGGGGGGGGGCCTGGTGGGGGTTTGGAGCGTGGCCCCCCTCAAATAGCCCCATAGAGAGGCTCCAAGTCCAAGGTTTGGAGGTGCTGGGGTGGGGGACAAACGGACGCCACTGTGAGATATGGAGGGGTTGTACGAGCTTGGGGGGTGGTGGGGAAATGAGCTTGGAGGGGGGGCACCAACTGGGGGTACCCCAATATCTCCCCCCCCCCCGGGAGGGGGTTTATTCCGGCTTTTTCTTGGCCAAGCCTGGGACTTTCGCCTGGATCCTATGGGAAAGGGGAAAGGAGAGAGGTGAGACTGGGAGATGGGGGGGCCATGGGGATAAAGGACAGGGGGCACAGTTTGGGGGGGCCCCATCAGGACGTACTTGGCCATGAGGTCCTTGCTGTGGCTGCGGGCGATGGCCACGTATTGATCGATCTGCACCTTTGGGGAGGAAGAGGAAAGAGTTTGAGGGTGGAACCCCCAATTCTACTGTACCCCCCCTTATTTCGAGGTCCCCCTTCATATTGGGGGTGCCGTCTTTCTTTTGGGGCTGTTCCAGGTGTATTTTGGGGGGCTCCTTGGTCACTTTGGAGCTTACCTTGTACTTCTCATAGAGAGGTGGGAGGCTGAAGGCCAGGATCTCAGCTGCGAGAGGAAAAGGGGGGGAACCCCCATAACGTTATTATTGCCCCCCCCCAACATTAACACACTTGGGGGGGTCTTTTCAAGGGGGAAGTGGGGCAGAGCCCAGTTCTTACCGAGGATGAGGAGGGTGATGCCATTGAAGACGGCTCCAACGTACGTCAGCAGCCACATGCACACAGCCAGCTGTGGGGGGGAAGGAGGGATTTGGGGGTTCCAGGGGGATAAATGAGGGATCTGGGGGGTCCCCGGAGGGGGGGAAAGGAGGGATCTGGGGGTCCCGTTACCTTGAGGGAATCTACCAGGTCCTCCACCAGGAAGAGGCGCAGCAGCAGCCGCAGGGCCCGGTTCAGGGCAGGGGCGGCTGCAGCCACCACGGCGCGGAACGTCTCGGGGGACACGGTGATGTCCTTCTCCAGGTACGTGCTGCGGGGGGGGGGTTAGGGGCGGGGGGACCCCAACAGCACCCCCTGCAACCACAACCCCCCCACCCCAACATCACCCTTTAACACCCCACATCCCCTTTTGCACCCCAAAACCCCCCTTTGCACCCCAGAATCACCCTTTAACCCCTCCTTGAATCATCTTTTGCACCCCAAAATCACCCTTTAACCCCCCTTTGCACCCCAAACCCCCCTCCATGCCCTAAATCCCCCTTTGCACCCCAAAATTACCCTTTAACCCCCCTTGAATCCTCCTACACCCCAAAACCCCCTCCACTCCCTAAGAGCCCCCTTTGCACCCCAAAAGTGAAAGGCCTTGGGGACCCACTTTGAGATGGGGGGGCCACCCCAAACCCCCCCTTTGCACCCCAACATCCCCCATTGAACCCCCAGCTCCCCACTTGGTACCCCCCAAACCCTTCACCCATTCCAGAGGGGCGCCCCAGCGGTAAATGGGGGGTCCCCATCGCCACCCCCCCCCCCATCCCCCATCCCCAACCGGAAGTGCCTCTCACCGGAAGGGGTGCCCCTCCTCGGCGCGGTGCAGGGCCTGCAGCAGCCCGCGCGCCGCGCGCGCGCTCACGGTGACGCAGAGGAGCGCGAGCGCCACGTGCGCGCACACGCTGACGGCGCTGAGCGCGGCGAGCGACAGGAGCGGCGCGAGGCTGGCGCCGAGCACGAGCGCGGAGCGGCGCGGGTCCCGCCACAGCAACAGCTCCCGCGCTGCGGGGGGGAGGGGGGGACACGGACATGGAGCGGGAAACAGCGCCCCCCAGCGGCCCCGCCCCCCCCCCGTGCTGGCGGCTTCACCTCCATCCCCCCCCTCCCCCCTTGTACCTCATTAACACAGGCACTAATTAACTGCGCCCCTCCCCGGTACAGGCATCAATACCCCCTCCTCCCCCCGACAGGCATTAACCCCCCCCATTACAGGTCTTAAGTAACCCCCTCCATTACAGGCACTAATGACCCCCCCATTACAGGCATTAAGACCCCCCCCCAATACAGGCATTAATTAACCCTCGACCGTCATTACAGGCATTAATAACCCCCCCCCCCCACTACAGGCATTAATTAACACCCCCCCATTACAGGCATTAATTAACCCTCAACCCTCACTACAGGCATTAACACACCCCCCCCATTACAGGCATTAAATACCCCCCCATCACAGGCACTAATTAACGCCCCCCAGTCTAGCGGCGGGTTGGACCCCAAAATCCCCCTTTTTCAACCCAAAACGCGAGGCAGACACAGGCGCCCTCCCACCCCCTTAAGAGGCAGCACTATGGGGCTGGAGCCTCCCTTCCCCCCGCGCTGCTTTGGGGGTGACTCGGCGCTGTTTTGGGTCTAAAAAGGGCGGTTTGGGGGCCGGAGGCTGTGCTTTACCTGCCAGGCTGGGCTGGAGGAGCAGCGGCCGCCCCTCGGCGGGGGGGGGCTCAGCCACATTCCCGCTGGGATCCGGGGGCTCCCGAGGGGGCTCCCCCAGCTCCTGCAGCGCCCGCAGGGTGAGGCGCTCCTCCTCCCAGTCCCGGGCCGCGGGAATGGGGTTGGGAATGGGGTTGGCTCCGGACGGGATCGGGATCGGCGCTTCCTCCATGGGCGCCTCCTCGATGACGGTGTCGTCGGAGTCGCCCGAGCTGTCGGCTTCGGCGGGGCCGGGATTCCCGGCGCTGTTCCCATTCCCACCATTCCTCTCCACCAGATCCCAGCTGAGCAGCTCGCTGGTGAAGCTGTGCATCTCCCGCACGCACTTGGACACCTCCTCCAAGGCCGCGGCCGTGCCGGAGGCTTGTCGGGATAACCCAGTGGGGAGCTTGGCTGGAAGGCCGGGAATGCCGTTCCCTGTGCGGGCTTTCACCGGGAAGTCGCAGACTCGATCCTCCGGGATCTGGCTCAGCACTTCCCGCTCCGCCATCGGGATGCTCCCGGGGCCGTATTCCCGGTCGAAGGCGGCGCGATCCGGCACCACCTCAAAGGGCGATTCCGGGGAATCCAGTTCCTTCGGAGCGGGAATCCCGTTGGATGAGGGGGGGGAGGTTGGGACAAAGGCTCCTCCTCGCCCCCCCGCAGCCGCTGGGGCCGGAGAGAGGGGGGGGAAACGTCAGACGGAGGGTGGGAATTCCGGGAATGGGGTCCTGCATGCACCCCATAAGGGTCCCCCCCGTCCATCGGTGCAGCCATGCGGGGGGGGGGAGGGGGGGGCAGCAGATCCTGCGGCGGCACAAAGAGGGGGCCTTCCCCACCCCAAAACCGGCCTTGAAGAGGGGGGAGGCTCGATTTGGGGCTAAAATAACCCAAATTGGGGCTGCAGGGATGGGGGGGAACCCCAGTATGGGCGCAGCCACCCCCAACGGCTGCTACTGGGGCAGGATGGAGGGGCTTGGGTCCTCCGGGGTTGGTTTTAGGGTCTCCAAGGCAGGTTATGGGGTCCTCCAAGGTTGGTTTTAGGGTCTCCAAGATGGGCACAGAAGGGGTTTTGGGTCCTCCAGGGTTTGAAGGAAGGTTTTGGGTTGATCCAAGGCAGGCTCTGGGGTGCTCCAGGGTGGGTTTTGGGGTGCTCAAAGGCGGGGAGAAGGATTTGGGGTCCTCTAAGGTTGGTTTTGGGGTGTCGAAGGTGGGGTTTGGGTTGATCCAAGGTGGGTTTTGGGGTCTCCAAGGTGGGGCTTGGGCTCTTCCAAGATGGGGAGGAGGGATTTTGGGTCCTCCAAGGTTGGTTCTGGGGTCCTCCAGGGTTGGAAGGAGGGTTTTGGATTGATCCAAGGTTGGTTTTGGGGTCCTCCAAGGTGGGGAGGAAGGTTTGGGGTGTTCCAAAGTGGGTTTTCAGGTCCTCCAAGATGGGTTTTGGGCTCTCCAAGGTGGATTTTAGGGTGCTCCAAGGTTGGTTTTGGGCTCCAAGGTTAGGAGAAGGGATTTGGTGCACTCCAAGGTGGGCTTTGGGGTGCTCTAAAGATGGTTCTGGGGTCCTCCAAGGTTGGGAGGTGGCTTTGGGGTGTCCGAGATGGGTTTTGGGATGCTTCAAGGTTGGGAGGTTGGTTCTGGGGTGCTCCAGGGCTGGTTCTGGGGTGCTCCAGGGTTTGAAGGAGGCTTTTAGGTAGATCCAAGGTTGGTTTTGGGGTCCTCCAAGGTGGGGAGGAGGGACTGGGGTCTCCAGGGTAGGTTTTGGGTTGATCCAGGGCTGGTTTTGGGAGTATCCAAAGCGGGTTTTGGAGTGTCCATTCCCGTGCCCCCCCAGTCCCATGCACAGGGTTGGGCGGGGGTCACGGCGCAGGCGCCTCCAGTGGGGTTTGAGGCCAAACCATGGCGAAACGGTCAAATCCTCCTGGGGGAACCCTGGGGCGGGAGGGGGGGGGGGTTGCCAAGCACCAGCAGCAGCCAGGGGGTAAGAGGGGGGGGAAGCTGCAGGGAAGGAGGGGGGGAAAGTTGTGGGGCAGCCCCCCCAAGAAGCGGAAGACGCAGCATTAAGCAGCAGGCAGAGAAGAGAAATGTCCCCTTTGGGGGGAGGGCTTCCCCCAGAAACATTTTGGGGGGGTCTCAGGACCCTTCCCCACCCCCCAAAATGAGCCCCAAGCAAAGTCCCCTCAAACAGGGGGCAGATTTTAGCCCCCCCCCCGCATCCCCAAGCTGTGTCATTGGGGCCCCCAAACCAACACTGGGGACCCCAAACCAGCCCTGACCCCCCCAATCACGGGGGGGGTTGGTTTTAAGCTTTAGGCTTTGCCCCCCCCCGACATTTCCCATCTTGGGGTGCAGGAGGGGTCCGGAGGGGGGCACTTGCCTGGTGTGGCTGCAAAGAGAGAAACGGGCTGAGAGGAGGAGGAGGAGGAGGAAGCAGAGGGGGGATCTGCAAGAGAACACAGAGGTGAGAGCCCTGCGGGGGCCCCCCCAAACCCTCCCAACCCCCTCCCCCACCCAAGGCTTCATTGCGGCGCAGCTCCACCTCCAGGTCTCCACTGTCTCTATAAGGTACCTATGGGGGTTTGGGGTGAAACCCCCCCAAGATGGGTCCAGCGTTGCCTCTTCAGCCCCAAAATGGGCAGATTTGGGGGGGGGGGGGGAGGCTTGAGAACCTCCAAACCCCCTGCTTGGAGTCTCAGTTCCCTTTTCCATCGGGTTTATCCCACATTAAGGCGGTGCCGGCGGTTTCATGCTTGTCCCCATGCAATGGGAGGGCTCGGGGGGGCGGGGGGAGGGAAATCCCGGTTTCCCCCTTTTTGAGGTGCCCTCGTGTCTCTCCCATCAATGGAGCCCCATCTCTGACCAAACCTGCGGGAGGGTTCCCCTTGTTTGCAGCAGGGATCCGGAGCACAAACAGCATCGGGGCATCCCAACACCCCCACCTGCCCCCCTGCTTTCGGCGCTGAACCCCCCCCCACGGCGATATTTGGCGTGACCCCCCCCAAGTTTGGGGTATCCAGAAGGGAAAAGGGGGGGAGGGGAATGACAGGAATTGGGGCGCAACGGCGGCAAGTGGGGACCCCGGGAGGGGGCTCAATGGGGGGCAAAGGGACCCCCCAACCCCCCCCATGGGGCAGACGGACGGAGCAGCCCAAGAGCACCCCAAAACCTGCAGCAACGGCCCCACTTCACCCCGATCCTGAGGGATGACTGCTGGGATATGCCGATGCCCCCACGGCTGACACATATGGGCCTCTGCCCCCTATAGCTACCCAATAAGACCTCCTGCTCTCTATGTCTGACCCCAAAAGGCCTCTTCCCCCTATATCTGCCTTCCCAAAGCTCCATCTCCCCACATGGCTCCCTAAAGACCATTTCATCTCATACCTGACCCCACAGAGGGCTCTTTCCCCTGTATTTGTCCCCCAAAGGCCTCTTCTCCCCACATCTGCCCCCCTGCAGCCCCCAAGCTGGTATATCTACCCCTTCAAAGGCCTCTCTCGCCTATATCTACTCCTATATAGGCCTCATTCTCTCATATCTGCTCTCTCATAGGCCTCCTTCCCCTATATCTAGCCCTCCAAAGGTCTCTCCTCCCCATATCTCCTCCCCCAAGCCTCTTCCCCTCATATCTGCCCCCATATAGACCTTTTTCCCCTATATCTACCTCCCAAAGGCCTGATTCCCCCATATCTGGCCCTCCAGAGGCCTCTTTCCCCTATACCTGCCCCCATATAAACCTGATTCCCCTACACCTGCTCCCATATAGGCTTTTTTCACCTATACCTACCCCTATATAGGCCTCCCTCACCTATGGCTATCGCATATAGGTCTCTTTCCCCTACAGCTGCACCATATAGGCCTCTGCTCCCCATATCTGCCCCACATAACCCCTTATCTACCTCACCTACCCTCACATACGCCCCTTGCCCCAGTATCCTTTCCCCCAACGCCTCTTCCCCCTCATCCCCCTCCTCCGCCCCACCACCCACATCTCCCGCAGGCCGCGCTGAGCCCTTACCGGCGCAGGACAGGGCTCCGGCGGTGCCGCAGCCGCCGCGCTGGGGCTGCGGGAGGCCGGGCTCGGAGGACGAGGACACGAGCGGGGATTGCGGGCCGGGCTCGGCCATGGCGGCGCTGCGGAGCCGCGCCTCAGCGCCTCCGTCCCGCGCGGCGGCCACGCACCGACTGCCGGCGGCACCGCGCATGCGCCTCCTGCCCCCCCCGCCGGCGCTTCCCCCGTCCCCACCCTGAGCATGCGCACATCGCCGCCCGCCCGCCGCAGCCCCCGCGCTTCTACGCATGCGGCCGGCAAGGCGTCGCCATGACAACCGCGCTGCCGGCGCGCGGTGCATGATGGGAGCTGTAGTCCTGAGCTATAGACGGTGTCCATATGGGGTGCGACCTATAGGGACAAAGAGGGCATGAGAGGGTCCCATAAGCTACCCTATAGCTCCATAGGGTGTCTTCTAGAGGGGGTACGGTGACGGCATTGGTGAGGCTTAGAGGCTGCTGTGAGTAAGATGATGTCTCTTGCAGATTAAGGGGGGTGGGGGGAGGTATAAGGTAGCCAGTCCCTATAGTGGGGCTATGGGGTCAAACCAGGCCGTGGAGCGCTCGCTATAGGTGACCCCTTAAAGCGGACTGGGGCCTATAGAGACGAGCACTCGCGTAGGGCGCCCCCATGTGGGGGGGGGTAGCGTCACTCAGCCCCTATAGGGGACAGCGGGGGGGGTGGGAGTGCAGCTGCGGTCACAAAGCTCCGCCCCCTCCTCCCCTGTGGCCCCGCCAACCCCCGCTCCTTCAGCCAATCAAGCGCCGGCAGCAGAGCCTCCGGCCGACCGTGACGCAGCTGCGCGGTGGGCGGGGTCTTACAGCGGGATGGCGCAGCTTTTAACCAATAGCAGAGCGAGCTCGGAGAGGCGGACCAATAAGAAGCGGTCCTTTCCGGCAAAGGGGAGGGGCAAGTAGCGGTACGAAAGGGGCGTGTCGAGCGCTGCCCAATAGGAGGCTGGGGGGCGGAGCTAGCGGGACGCGGGGGGAAGCGGTGGTTGCGGTCGCGCAGCGGTGAGTTGACGGGGGAGAGAGGGGCACTGGGGATCACGTGACCCACGCCTCCACGTGACCCCATTCCCCCCGTAGGACCCCCTCATAGGGACCGGGATCCCCCATAGGGGCTGGTGCCCCCTTAGACCGGATCCCCCATAGGGCCCGGAGCCCCTGTAGGGCTTGGGACCCCCTCCAGAGCCCAGTATGGACCAGTGCCGCCAGTCCGGCCCCACTGGGCAGCTCATCTGTGGGGCCAGTGGGGCTGTGTGGGGCTGCACAGGGTTGTATGTGCCCCAGAGGGCCATATAGGGCTGAGTGGGGTTATGTGGGACCTTATGGAGCTGTATGGGGTGTATGTGCCTTATTGGGATCATGTGGGGCTGTATGGGGTGTATGTGCCTTATTGGGGGTCATGTGGGGCTGTATGGGTGTATGTGCCCTATAGGGTCATGTGGGGCTGTATGGGGTGCGTGTGCCCCATGGGGTCATGTGAGGCTGTATGAGGTGTATGTGCCCTATGGGTCATGTGGAGCTATATGGGGTGTATGTGCCCTATGGGTCATGTGGAGCTATATGGGGTATATGTGCCTTATGGGGTCATGTGGGGCTGTATGGGGTATATGTGCCCTATGGGTCATGTGGAGCTATATGGGGTATATGTGCCTTATGTGGAGCTGTATGGGGTGTATGTACTCTATGGGGTCATGTGGGGCTATATGGGATGCGTATGCCCCATGGGGTCATGTGGGGCTGTATGTGCCCTACGGGTCCTTATGGGGCCATGTGGGCTGTGTGGGATCCCATGGGGCTGTATATGCCCCATAGGGTTGTATGGGTCCATATGCACCCCATGGGGCTGTGTGGGTCCGTGTGTGCTCTACGGGCTGCGCGGAGTCCCTCTGGGGCTGCACGTGCCCCATGGGGCTGAACGAGGGGTCCCTATGGGGCCCTATGGGCTCCGTGTGGACTTTGCCCCCCCCGGTCGATGATTCACCCGGGGGGCAGCGGGGGCTGGAGCCGGGGCCGGGCTTGCGCGGGGGGCGTGCGCGGGGAGCGGGCAGAGCCGCAGCGCGGGGGTGCGCGAGGGACCGGCGGGGCAGAGGTAACCGGGGGGGGGGGGGGGGTCGTGCAACGGGGGCTTGTGGAGGAGGTGCTTGTGCAAGGGGTCCTTGTGCAAAGGGGCTTGTGCAAGGGGGGCTTGTGCTGGAGGGGTCCTTGTGCAAGGGGGGGGCGTGCAAGGGGTCCTTGTGCCAGAGGGGTGCAATGGAGGGGGTGTGCGTGTGCAAGGGGAGCTTGTGCAAGAGAGGTCCTTGTGCAAAGGTGCTTGTGCCAAAGGGTGCGATGGAGGGGGGGGGGTGTGCAAGGGGTCCTTGTGGTGGAGGGGTCCTTGTGTAAATGGTCCTTGTGCAACGGGGGGGGCATGCAAGAGGTGCTTGTGCCAGAGGGGTGCGATGGAGGTGAGGGGTGTGTGTGCAACGGGGAGCTTGTGCTGGAGGGGTCCTTGTGCAAAGGTGCTTGTGCCAAAGGGTGCGATGGAGGGGGGGGGGTGTGCAAGGGGTCCTTGTGGTGGAGGGGTCCTTGTGTAAATGGTCCTTGTGCAAGGGGGGGGGCATGCAAGAGGTGCTTGTGCCAGAGGGGTGCGATGGAGGTGAGGGGTGTGTGTGCAAGGGGGAGCTTGTGCTGGAGGGGTCCTTGTGCAAGGAGTGCTTGTGCCAAAGGGGTGCAATGAAGGTGATGCGCGCGTACAAGGGGGGGCTTGTGCAAGAGAGGTCCTTGTGCAAGAGAGGTGCTTGTGCCGGAGGGGTTCTTGTGCAAGGGGTGCTTGTGCCCGAGGGGTGCGATGGAGGTGCTGTGCCTGTGGGGGGGTCCTTGTGCAAGGGGTGCTTGTGCCGGAGGGGTCCTTGTGCTCCTGGCAAGAGCCGCTTGTGCAAGGAGATGCTTGTGCAAGGGGGGGTTTGCACACACGTGTCCGTGTCGTGTACCCCCCCCCCCCATTAACGCTGGCTGGGGGGAGATCCATGTTCATTATGGGATGTCGGGGGGGTTGGGATTCTCTGGTGTCTTCTATAGGGGTTGTGCAAAGGGGAGGGGGAGGGGGGTCCCGAATGAGGGTCAAAGGGCAGTGGGGGAAAGGTCGGGGGGAGGGGGGAGGGGGGGGAAAGAGGGGGGAGATTCTCTGCTGTCTCCTATAGGGGTTGTGCCGGGGGGGGGGGGGTGGAGGTCAAAGGGCACTGGGGGAAAGGTGATGTTTGGATCCATTCTGGGAAGTGGGGGGGGGTGGGGGGGGGAGATTCTCCACTGGCTCCTATGGGGTTGTGCCATGGGGGGGGGTTTGGGGGGGAGGCACTGACCCGTGACCCCCCCATCCATGTGTGTGTCTGTGTGTGTCCCCAGATGTTTCAGCTGTGCCTCCCCCGGGGGGGCCGGGCCCTGCTGGGGCTGCGGCTGCTGCGGGGCCCCCCCGGCTCCCGGCGCCCCGTCAGCTACGAGCCCATCCGCAAGGTGCTGGTGGCCAACAGGGGTGAGTGCAGACACCCGGGACCCCCCCACGGCCCCCGGGGCGCCCTCACCCCCATTGACCCCCCCTTTGTGCTCTGGGCCCACACTTTGTCCCCTCCATCCCCCCATGGCCCTTGGGTCTTCCCCTGCCCCGGGTGTCCCCATGGGGTGTCCCCACTGTGCTGGGATGTCCCCAGTGGGTCCCGATGTCCCCCCCACACCAAGGTGTCCTCAATGGATGTTCCCAATGGGATGGGATGTCCCCAGTGGGACGGGGTATCTAATGGGTTGGAATGTCTCCAGTGAGTGTCCCCAATGGATGTTCCTCATGTCCCTGTGTTCCCAACGGGATGGGGTAACCCCAACCAGTGGGTTGGGATGTATTCAATGGGGTGTCCCCAATGGGTGTTCCCCATGTCCCTGTGTCCCCAATGGAATGGGATGTCACCAATGGGATGTAATGACCCCAATGGGATGGGGTATTCCCAGTGGGGTGTCCCCAATGGGCTGAGCTGTTCCCCATGTCCCTGTGTTCCCAATAGGATGGGATGTCACCAATCAATGTGGTGACCCCAGTGTGTTGGGATGTACTCAGTGGGGTGTCCCCAGTCGATGTTCCCCATGTCCCTGTGTTCCCAATGGGATGGGATGTCCCCAGTGGCTGTGTCCCCAATGGGATGGGATGACCCCAGTCGGCTGGGCTGTTCCTCATGTCCCTGTGTTCCCAATGGGATGGGATGACCCCAGTGGGCTGGGCTGTTCCCCATGTCCCTGTGTTCCCAATGGGATGGGATGACCCCAGTGGGCTGGGCTGTTCCTCATGTCCCTGTGTTCCCAATGGGATGGGATGACCCCAGTGGGCTGGGCTGTTCCTCATGTCCCTGTGTTCCCAATGGGATGGGATGACCCCAGTGGGCTGGGCTGTTCCCCATGTCCCTGTGTTCCCAATGGGATGGGATGACCCCAGTGGGCTGGGCTGTTCCCCATGTCCCTGTGTTCCCAATGGGATGGGATGTCCCCAATGGGATGGGATGTCCCCAGTGGGGTGTCCCCAGTGGGCTGGGCTGTTCCCCATGTCCCTGTGTCCCCAATGGGCTGGGCTGTCCCCAGTGGGTGTCCCCAGCGGGCTGGGCTGTTCCCGCAGGTGAGATCGCCATCCGGGTGTTCCGGGCCTGCACGGAGCTGGGGATCCGCACGGTGGCCGTGTACTCGGAGCAGGACACGGGGCAGATGCACCGGCAGAAGGCGGACGAGGCCTACCTGGTGGGGCGGGGGCTGCCCCCCGTGCAGGCCTACCTGCACGTGCCCGACATCATCCGCGTGGCACAGGTACCCTCACGGGGGGCAGCCCTAGGGGGTGGGGCTGCACGTGTGCCCCATAGGGATGGGCTTGGGTGCCCTGTGGGGGCACATCTGGGAGACCCATAGGGATGGGCTTGGGTGCCCTATGGGAGCACATCTGGGAGACCCATAGGGATGTGCTTGGGTGCCCTATGGGAGCACATCTGGGAGACCCATAGGGATGTGCTTGGGTACCCTATGGGGGCACATCTGGGAGACCCATAGGGATGTGCCTGGGTGCCCTATGGGGGCACATCTGGGAGACCCATAGGGATGGGCTTGGGTGCCCTGTGGGGGCACATCTGGGAGACCCATAGGGATGTGCTTGGGTACCCTATGGGAGCACATCTGGGAGACCCATAGGGATGTGCTTGGGTGCCCTATGGGAGCACATCTGGGAGACCCATAGGGATGGGCTTGGGTGCCCTATGGGGGCACATCTGGGAGACCCATAGGGATGTGCTTGGGTGCCCTATGGGGGCACATCTGGGAGACCCATTGGGATGTGCCTGGGTGCCCTATGGGGGCACATCTGGGAGACCCATTGGGATGTGCCTGGGTGCCTTATGGGGGCACATCTGGGAGACCCATAGGGATGTGCTTGGGTGCCCTATGGGGGCACATCTGGGAGACCCATAGGGATGGGCTTGGGTGCCCTATGGGGGCACATCTGGGAGACCCATAGGGATGTGCCTGGGTGCCCTATGGGGGCACATCTGGGAGACCCATAGGGATGTGCTTGGGTGCCCTATGGGAGCACATCTGGGAGACCCATAGGGATGTGCTTGGGTACCCTATGGGGGCACATCTGGGAGACCCATAGGGATGTGCCTGGGTACCCTATGGGGGCACATCTGGGAGACCCATAGGGATGTGCTTGGGTGCCCTATGGGAGCACATCTGGGAGACCCATAGGGATGTGCTTGGGTGCCCTATGGGAGCACATCTGGGAGACCCATAGGGATGTGCTTGGGTACCCTGTGGGGGCACATCTTGGACACCCATAGGGATGGGCTTGGGTACCCTTTAGGGGGGGCATACATGGGTCCCATGGGATGGGGGACACGTGTGCTCCATAGGGATGTACCCAGGTCTGCTGTGGGGGTACGTGTGGGGTGCCCATAGGGATGTGCCTGGGCTATCCCCATGACCCCCCCCTTCCCTGTGTCCCCCCCGTCCCATTCCCATGGCAGGAGAATGGGGTGGACGCGATCCACCCGGGCTATGGGTTCCTGTCCGAGAGCGCTGCCTTCGCCCAGGCCTGCCTGGACGCGGGGGTCCGGTTTGTGGGGCCCCCCCCGGCCGTCGTGCGCCAGATGGGGGACAAAGTGGAGGCTCGAGCCATTGCCATCGCTGCTGGTGGGCATGGGGGGGGGGGTATAGGGGGATATGGGGTTGTTTGGGGGGGCTATAGGGGGGTAAAGGGGGTGTTTGGAGGGTGTACGGGGGAGTAAAGGGATTATTTGGGGGGAGTATGTAGGGGCAAAGGGGTTTTGGGGGTATAGAGGGATATGGGTTCAACTGGGGGGGCTATGGGATTGGGGAGACTGTAGGGGAGTAAAGGGGTTATTGGGGGGGGCTATGGGGTTATTTGAGGGATGAATGGGGATATTGGGGGGGTTTATGGGGGTATAGAATTGTTTGGGGGGCTAGAGTGAGTTATAGAGTGTTATAAGTGGTTCTAGGGTGTTCTGGAGAGTGACAGGATTCTGTGGGGGTTACAGGGCACTACAGGGTGTTGTAGGTGGTTAGAGGGGGCTCTAGGGGGTTGTAGAATGCTATCACAGTATCACAGTATCACAGTATGTTAGAGATTGGAAGGGACCTCAAAAGCTCATCCAGTCCAATCCCCCTGCCGGAGCAGGAACACCCAGATAAGGTTACACAGGAACGTGTCCAGGCAGCTATAGGTGGTTATAGGATGCTCTGGGGGGTATAGGATGCTATAGGTGATTATAGGGTGCTGTAGGGATTTATAGGATGCTGTAGATGGTTATAGGGTGCTAGGTTTATTGGATGCTCAAGGGGAATATAGAATGCTATAGGTGGTTATAGGGTGCTATAGGGGGATATAGGATGCTGTAGGTGGCTATAGGGCACTGTAGGGGGGTATAGGATGCTGTAGGTGGTAATAGGGTGCTATAGGGGGGTATAGGATGCTGTAGGTGGTTATAGGGTGCTGTAGGGGCTATAGGATGGCATTGGTGCTTATAGGGCACTATAGGGGGGTATAGGATGCTGTAGGTGGTTATAGGGCGGTATAGGGGGTATAGGATGCTGTAGGTGGTTATAGGGTGCTCTAGGGGGTATAGGATGCTGTAGGTGGTTATAGGGTGCTCTAGGGGGTATAGGATGCTGTAGGTGGTTATAGGGCGCTCTAGGGGGGTATAGGATGCTGTAGGTGGTTATAGGGCGCTCTAGGGGGGTATAGGATGCTGTAGGTGGTTATAGGGCGCTCTAGCGGGGTATAGGATGCTGTAGGTGGTTATAGGGCGCTCTAGGGGGGTATAGGATGCTGTAGGTGGTTATAGAGCGCTATAAGGAGTTATAGGATGCTGTAGGTGGTTATACGGCGCTCTAGGGGGTATAGGATGCTGTAGGTGGTTATAGGGCGCTATAGGGGGTATAGGATGCTGTAGGTGGTTATAGGGCGCTATAGGGGGTATAGGATGCTGTAGGTGGTTATAGGGCGCTCTAGGGGGTATAGGATGCTGTAGGTGGTTATAGGGCACTATAGGGGGTATAGGATGCTGTAGGTGGTTATAGGGCGCTATAGGGGGTATAGGATGCTGTAGGTGGTTATAGGGCGCTATAGGGGGTATAGGATGCTGTAGGTGGTTATAGGGTGCTATAGGGGGTATAGGATGCTGTAGGTGGTTATAGGGCGCTATAAGGCGTTATAGGATGCTGTAGGTGGTTATAGGGCGCTATAAGGAGTTATAGGATGCTGTAGGTGGTTATAGGGTGCTATAGGGGGTATAGGATGCTGTAGGTGGTTATAGGGCGCTATAGGGGGTATAGGATACTGTAGGTGGTTATAGGGTGCTCTAGGGGGGTATAGGATGCTGTAGGTGGTTATAGGGTGCTATAGGGGGTATAGGATGCTGTAGGTGGTTATAGGGCGCCCTAGGGGGTATAGGATGCTGTAGGTGATTGTAGGGCGCTATAAGGAGTTATAGGATGCTGTAGGTGGTTATAGGGCGCTATAGGGGGTATAGGATGCTGTAGGTGATTGTAGGGCGCTATAAGGAGTTATAGGATGCTGTAGGTGGTTATAGGGCGCTATAGGGGGTATAGGATGCTGTAGGTGGTTATAGGGCGCTCTAGGGGGTATAGGATGCTGTAGGTGGTTATAGGGCGCTATAGGGGGTATAGGATGCTGTAGGTGGTTATAGGGCGCTCTAGGGGGTATAGGATGCTGTAGGTGGTTATAGGGCGCTCTAGGGGGTATAGGATGCTGTAGGTGGTTATAGGGCGCTCTAGGGGGTATAGGATGCTGTAGGTGGTTATAGGGCACTATAGGGGGTATAGGATGCTGTAGGTGGTTATAGGGCGCTCTAGGGGGTATAGGATGCTGTAGGTGGTTATAGGGCGCTCTAGGGGGTATAGGATGCTGTAGGTGGTTATAGGGCGCTCTAGGGGGTATAGGATGCTGTAGGTGGTTATAGGGCACTATAGGGGGTATAGGATGCTGTAGGTGGTTATAGGGCACTATAGGGGGTATAGGATGCTGTAGGTGGTTATAGGGCACTATAGGGGGTATAGGATGCTGTAGGTGGTTATAGGGCACTATAGGGGGTATAGGATGCTGTAGGTGGTTATAGGGCACTATAGGGGGTATAGGATGCTGTAGGTGGTTATAGGGCACTATAGGGGGTATAGGATGCTGTAGGTGGTTATAGGGCACTATAGGGGGTATAGGATGCTGTAGGTGGTTATAGGGCACTATAGGGGGTATAGGATGCTGTAGGTGGTTATAGGGCACTATAGGGGGTATAGGATGCTGTAGGTGGTTATAGGGCACTATAGGGGGTATAGGATGCTGTAGGTGGTTATAGGGCACTATAGGGGGTATAGGATGCTGTAGGTGGTTATAGGGCGCTCTAGGGGGTATAGGATGCTGTAGGTGGTTATAGGGCTCTCTGGGGGTGCTGTGTGCAGCGGGTGACCCTCCCCCCCCCCCGCAGGGCTGCCGGTGGTGCCGGGGACGCCATCGCCGGTGTCGGGGCTGGCCGAGGCACGGGACTTCGCGCTGGACGCCGGCTTCCCCGTGATCCTCAAGGCCGCGCATGGCGGCGGCGGCCGCGGCATGAGGGTGGTGCGGGCACCGCAGGTACCGGCCCGAACCCCGCCCCCCCCATGGGACCCCGATGTCCACATCCCACTGGACCCCCCCAAATCCCTGCATCCCCAATTCCCTGGGATGCTCCCAGTGAGGACCCATGCGCATGGGGGTGGGCGCAGGCACCCGTGGGTGGTGCAGGCACCCCTGTTGTGTGGGGGGGTGCTGGGCCCGGGGGTCTCCCCGCATTCCAGGCCTGTCCCAGCCATGCTCCATTGCAGGAGCTGGAGGAGAGCTTCTCCCGCGCCTCTTCCGAGGCTTTGGCCGCCTTTGGCAACGGGGACCTCTTCGTGGAGAAGTTCATTGAGCGCCCGCGGCACATCGAGGTCCAGATCCTGGGTGCGGATGGGGGGGTCCCGATGGAATCTGAGCAGGATTTGGGGGGTCTTTGGAGCTTTTTAGGGGCTTTTTGGGGCATTTGGGGGGCTTTGGAGGGGGCTCTGGGGGCTTTCTGGTGGATTTGGAGGGGCTTTGGGACCCAGGGTGGTGTGGGGGTACTTTGGGGTGTCTTTTGGAGGATTTAGGGGTCTTTATGGCTGTTGGGGAGGTGTTTGGAAGCCCTTGGGGCTTTTGGGGAGGTCTTTGCAGGGTCCTTATGGACCTGGGAGCCTTCTGGGGGGGGGGGGTCTCTTTGGTGGCTGCTCCTGGATTCGGGGGTGTCCCTGGGGCCAAAGCAGGGTTTGGGGTGTCCGGATGGGGCCGGTGCTGCGGGATGGGGCTGGGGGGGTTGGGGTGCGTGTCCCGGTGTGAGCGGGCCCGGTCCCGGTCCCGGTGCAGGGGACCAGCACGGGCACGTGGTTCACCTGCACGAGCGGGACTGCTCGGTGCAGCGCCGGCACCAGAAGGTCGTGGAGATCGCGCCCGCGGCGCGGCTGCAGCCGCAGCTCCGGGAGCGCCTCGCCAGCGACGCCGTGCGCCTGGCGCGGCAGGTACCGAGCGCGGGCGCCGCGGGTGCGTCGGGGGGACCGGAGGGAACGTGGGGGTCCAAGGAGCTGCGCGGGCGGAGACCTTGGGGTCCTGCAGCGATCCATGGGGAGAGCCAGGAGGATGCGGGGAGATCCAGGAACTGCGCGGGGGGGAGGATGGGGAGATGCGGGAGTTCCGAAAGGGACCCGCACCCATCACTGGGGGGGAACATGGGGGGACACAGGAACTGGGAGGGAGGAGGCCATGGGGGACACCTGGAATCCATGGGGAGACCCGGGAGAGCACGGGGGAGATGTAGGAATTGGGGGAACACCCAAGAGCCCTGTGAGGGGCTGCACCCATCACCGGGGGGGAAACATGGGGGGACACAGGAATTGGGAGGGAGGAGGCCATGGGGGAGACCCGGGAGAGCATGGGGGAGATGCAGGAATTGGGGGAACACCCAAGAGCCCTGTGAGGGGCTGCACCCATCAGCAGGGCCACAGCCACCCAAAGGGGCACCCAGGCCTTTGGGGGTGCCCCCCCTGCTGTGGGGGTGACCCCGTTTCCAGCCTGACAAGGTGGGGGGGGGCTGCAGGTGGGGTACGAGAACGCGGGAACGGTGGAATTCCTGGTGGATCAGAGCGGGAGCTACTACTTCATCGAGGTCAACTCGCGCCTGCAGGTGGAGCACACGGTCACCGAGGAGATCACGGGGTGCGTGCAGGGGGGACACCCCAAAACCGGGTCCTGGGGAGTGCAAAGGGATGAGGGGGGCACCTGGGTGCCAGGTCTTTGGGAGGTGCGGCTCCATCTGCTGGTGCTGTTGGAGATGCGGGCCCGGGGCTGCCCCGTGGGGAGCTGTGGGTCAGCACTGGGGGTTCCGGGGCCCCCTGTGACCCCCCGTCAGCGTGGACCTGGTCCACGCGCAGTTGCAGGTGGCCGCGGGCCGGTCGCTGCCGGAGCTGGGGCTGGAGCAGGACAAGATCCGTGTCAACGGCTGCGCCATCCAGTGCCGCGTCACCACCGAGGACCCAGCCCGCGGCTTCCAGCCCGACACCGGCCGCATCGAGGTGAGCGCCTGGGACGATCCCATTGGGCCGATCCCATGGGACGCCCCAGCGCCCACAGCAGCCTCTGAGGGCTCTCCCGGGTGCCGCCGCAGGTGTTCCGCAGCGGGGAGGGGATGGGGATCCGCCTGGACGGCGCCTCCGCGTTCCAGGGCGCGCTCATCTCGCCGCACTACGACTCGCTGCTGGTGAAGGTGGTGGCGCACGGGCACGACCAGACCGCGGCCGCCGCCAAGATGCGCCGGGCCCTGGCCGAGTTCCGCATCCGCGGCGTCAAGGTCGGCCCCGGAGGGGCAGGGGAGCGGGGTGACGGGGATGGGATGGGGGGCACCGGGACGGGTGGGGGTTCTTGTGTGGTTCACAAGGGGAGGGGGGCCTCGTGTGCGATGCATGAGGGGGTTTGAGGGGCTCGTGTGTGGTGCACGGGGGGGGTTGGAGGGGCGCTGCTCTGGTGCACAAAGGCCCTGGTGCAATGCACAAGGAGTTGGAGGGCACCTGTGCAGTGCACCAGGGGCTGGGGTGTGCAGTGCCCGGGGTTGGGGGTCTTTGACACGCTGCGGTGCTCGTGCAGTGCACAAGGGGCTGTTGGAGCCACTTGTGCAATGCAGGGCAGGTGGGTCTTGTGTGACTCCCCATCACGGAGTGTAGGGGGTGGTGGGAGGTCCCTCCTGTAATGCATGATGGGGTTTGTGCACTATCTAGCGTCCCCGTGCATTGCACGAGGATGGTGTTGGGGTGCTGGTGCTCCTTTGGCATTGCACAAGGATGGTGTCAGGGTGCTGTGCCCCTTGTGTATTACACAAGGATGGTGCCAGGGTGCTGTGCCCCTTGTGCATTGCACAAAGATGGTGTCAGGGTGCTGTGCCCCTCTTGCATTGCACTAGGATGGTGTCAGGGTGCTGCGCCACTTGTGTGTTGCATGAGGATGGTGTGAGGGTGCTGTGCCCATCGTGCATTGCACAAGGATGGTGTCAAGGTGCTGTGCCCCTCGTGCATTGCATAAGGATGGTGTCAGGGTGCTGTACCCCTTGTGTACTACACAAGGATGGTGTCAGGGTGCTGTACCCCTTGTGTACTACACAAGGATGGTGTCAAGGTGCTGTGTCACTTGTGCATTGCACAAGGATGGTGTCAGGGTGCTGTGCCCCTCGTGCATTGCACAAGGATGGTGTCAAGGTGCTGTGCCCCTCGTGCATTGCACAAGGATGGTGTCAGGGTGCTGTACCCCTTGTGTACTACACAAGGATGGTGTCAGGGTGCTGTACCCCTTGTGTATTACACAAGGATGGTGTCAGGGTGCTGTGCCCCTCGTGCATTGCACAAGGATGGTGTCAAGGTGCTGTGTCACTTGTGCATTGCACAAGGATGGTGTCAGGGTGCTGTACCCCTTGTGTATTACACAAGGATGGTGTCAGGGTGCTGTGCCCCTTGTGCATTGCACAAGGATGGTGTCAGGGTGCTGTACCCCTTGTGTATTACACAAGGATGGTGTCAGGGTGCTGTGCCCCTCGTGCATTGCACAAGGATGGTGTCAGGGTGCTGTACCCCTTGTGTATTACACAAGGATGGTGTCAGGGTGCTGTGCCCCTCGTGCATTGCACAAGGATGGTGTCAGGGTGCTGTACCCCTTGTGTATTACACAAGGATGGTGTCAGGGTGCTGTGCCCCTCGTGCATTGCACAAGGATGGTGTCAGGGTGCTGTACCCCTTGTGTATTACACAAGGATGGTGTCAGGGTGCTGTGCCCCTCGTGCATTGCACAAGGATGGTGTCAGGGTGCTGTACCCCTTGTGTATTACACAAGGATGGTGTCAGGGTGCTGTGCCCCTCGTGCATTGCACAAGGATGGTGTCAGGGTGCTGTACCCCTTGTGTATTACACAAGGATGGTGTCAGGGTGCTGTGCCCCTCGTGCATTGCACAAGGATGGTGTCAGGGTGCTGTACCCCTTGTGTATTACACAAGGATGGTGTCAGGGTGCTGTGGCCCTTGTGCATTGCACGAGGATGGCGCTGGTGCCCCTCATGCCTCAGCTGCTGATGGGCGCATCCTTCGCAGACGAACATCCCGTTCCTGCAGAACGTCCTGGCGCACCCCCAGTTCTTGGGGGGTGTCGCTGACACCCAGTTCATTGATGAGAACCCCGAGCTCTTCCACCTGCGCCCCGGGCAGAACCGGGCCCAGAAGCTGCTGCACTACCTGGGTATGGGGCTGGGAGGGGGCTGGGGGGGCGCTTGGTGCTTGGAAGCAGTTTGGCGGGCTCTAAGGGATCCCTGTGGGGCTTGGGAGAGTTCTTGGGCAGTCCTGGGTCCCTGGGGGGCTCCTAGGGGGGGTCCTTGGGGTGCTTGGAGGAGTTCTTGGGGGCACCTAAGGAGTCCCTTGGGAGTTTTGGGTGGTCCAAACCCCCCCATCCATGCACCCTCCTCCAGGTCACGTGATGGTGAACGGCCCCAGCACCCCCCTCCCAGTCAAGGCGAAGGCGGCGCTGATGGAGCCCACCCCCCCCCCGACACCCATGGGTGAGCCTGTGCTTGGCATGTGCTTGACGTGTGCTTGGTATGACATAGTTTGCCATAGCATGTACTATCATAGCATGGCATGCTGTAGCCTGTGCATGTCGTACTGTGGCATGTGCGTATCATGTATGCTTGGTGTGTACATGATGTGCTTTAGCATGTGCATGGCATGCCTCGGTGCGTGCATGTTTTCTGTTCTTCATACGCACGTGAAGTGCCATGGCACGTGTGTAGTCTGTGCATGTCATGTGACATGTGCATGGCGTGTGTGCATGACTGTCCTGTGTTCCGCTGCACACGGCATGCGCATGGCATGTATGCTTGGCGTATGCACGACGTGCCTTGGTACACGTATGGCACGCAACGGCCTGCGCGTTTCACAGCGTGGCACACGCACGGCGCGCGCGCACATGGCCCGCCGCAGCACACGTGCAGAGCGCGGCGCACCGCACCGCATGCGCATGGCACGTGCGCGCGCTTGGCGTGACGCTGCGTGCGTGCCGCGTGCGCGCCGCGCCCCGCCCGCCCCCACCGCCGCTCACCGTGCCCGTGCCCGTGCCCCCGCAGGGCCGCCTCCACCGGGGCTCCGCTCCGTGCTGCAGCGCGAGGGCCCGGCCGCGTTCTCGCGGGCGCTGCGCGCGCACCGGGGGCTGCTGCTCACGGACACCACCTTCCGGGACGCGCATCAGTCGCTGCTGGCCACGCGCGTGCGCACGAGGGACCTGGCGCGCGTGGCGCCCTTCGCGGCGCACAACCTCAGCGGCCTCTGCAGCATGGAGACGTGGGGAGGTGGGCGGGGCCTGGGGGGGCGGGGCCATGGGGGCGCGGCGGGAATGGAAGCCAATGAATGGGGGAAGCCCGGGGACGGGGCCCATAAAGGGGCGTGGCTTCCCTGTGGGGAGCCACGAATGGGAATGGCCCAGGGGGCGGGGCTTCGAAGAGCGGGAAGGGGGTGCGTGATCTGAATGGGGAGGGTGTAAAAGGGGGCGTGGCTTCTCTGGGGAGCTGTGAATGGGAATGGCTCGAGGGGCGGGGCTGCGAACGGCGGGAAGGGGGTCGTGATCTGAATGGGGAGGGTTTAAAAGGGGGCGTGGCTTCTCTGGGGGGCCTGTGAATGGGAGTGGCCGGGGGGCTGGGGGTTCTCGATGGATGACCGTGGGAGTGGGAGGCAGGGGGAAGGGGCGTGGCCCATAGGGGGCGTGGCTACAGCGGTTTTGGGGCTTAAAGAGGGCGGGGCTTTGCCATGGGAGCCCTTAACACCGGGGGCAGAGGTGGGAAGGGGGGGAGGTGGCCAAGAGGGCGGGGCTTGCACCAGCGCTCAGCCCCTGCCCTGCAGGTGCCACCTTCGACGTGGCGATGCGGTTCCTGCACGAGTGCCCCTGGGAGCGGCTGCGGGAGCTGCGGCGCCTCGTCCCCAACATCCCCTTCCAGATGCTGCTGCGCGGCGCCAACGCCGTCGGCTACACCAACTACCCCGACAACGTCGTCAACCGGTGAGCGGGGCATGCGGGGACACTGCGGGGACGTGGGGACACTGGGGGGCTGTTGGAGCGTGGGGAGATGTGAAGGGATGAGCAGCCATGGGGTGGCATGGAGACATGGGGGAATATGGGGGCATGAGGGGACATGGAGGGGTGAAGGGGTGGGGGGAGATGGAAGATGATGGACATGGGGAGACATGGAGGGATAAGGAGACGTGAAGGATATGGTGGGATGGAGGACATGGGGAAATGAGGGATGAAGGGATGGGGGTAGATGGATCATGAGGGACAGAGGGACATATGGAGGGATGATGGGGCATGGGGGACGTGAAGGGATGATGGGACATGGGGGACATGAAGGGATGATGGGACATAGGGGACGTGAAGGGATGATGGGGCATGGGGGACGTGAAGGGATGATGGGGCATGGGGGACGTGAAGGGATGATGGGGCATGGGGGACATGGAAGAACATGGGGACACTTGGAGCGACGGCAGGACACGTACCCAGTGTGATGAGCGCCCATGAGGACCCAGTGGGTCACCACGGGAGGTGCCACCAGCACTCAGGTGCTCACGGACCCTCATAACCCCTCTGGTGGTGCCCAGGTTCTGTGAGGTGGCCGTGGCCAACGGCATGGACATCTTCCGCGTGTTCGACGCCCTCAACTACCTGCCCAACCTGGTGCTGGGGATAGAGGCTGCCGGGCGGGCAGGCGCCGTGGTGGAGGCCGCGCTCTCCTACACCGGCGACGTGGCCGATCCCACCCGCACCAAGTATAGCCTCCAGTACTACCTGGACCTGGCGCGGGAGCTGGTGGCTGCCGGCACCCACATCCTCTGCATCAAGGTGAGGGGGGGGCGTCTATGGGAGGAGCTTAGGGTGACAGAGAGGGGAGTTTGGGGATGGGAGGGGGGGTTGGGGGGGTATTTGAGGGATGGGAGGGGGGATTTGGGGTGTTAGAGGGCGTGGGATTGGAACTGGGGGTTCCTGGAGGGGCTGAAGGGTGAATTTCAGGCCCACAACACCCCCAGAATGCAACAGGACAGCTACTGGGGAGGTTGGGGGTTGAGATGAGATGGGGGGGCTCCATGACCCCCCATGCTGTCCGTGTTCCCCTATCCCCCCTATGACCCCAATACCCCACATATCCCTGCTGCTCCCGTCATGTCCCCATGTGCCCCCTGCCCCCGATAACCCCCCCATCCTCCCTGACCCCTCTCTGACTCCTCTGTGGGGCAGGACATGGCGGGGCTGCTGACGCCGGGCGCCGCGCGGGTGCTGGTGACGGCGCTGCGGGAGCGCTTCCCGGAGGTGCCTCTGCACGTGCACACGCACGACACGGCCGGGGCCGCCGTCGCCTCCATGCTGGCGGCTGCCAATGCTGGCGCTGACGTGGTGGACGTGGCCGTGGACGCCATGGCCGGGATGACCTCCCAGCCCAGCATGGGCGCGCTGGTGGCCTGCGCCCGCGGCACCCCTCTTGACACAGGTACCTCGGCCGTGGTAATAGCAATGTGGGCAGGGAGGTGGGGACGTAGTTATGGAGGTCCACCGTGGTGTTGGTAGTGGCACCGTGGTCATGGTAATGGCAATGGGGTCTGGGAGGTGGGGATGTAGTTATGGAGGTCCACCGTGGTGTTGGTAGTGGCACCGTGGTCATGGTAATGGCAATGGGGTCTGGGAGGTGGGGATGTAGTTATGGAGGTCCACCGTGGTGTTGGTAGTGGCACCGTGGTCATGGTAATGGCAATGGGGTCTGGGAGGTGGGGATGTAGTTATGGAGGTCCACCGTGGTGTTGGTAGTGGCACCGTGGTCATGGTAATGGCAATGGGGTCTGGGAGGTGGGGATGTAATTATGCAGGTCCACCATGGTGTTGGTAATGGCACCGAGGCCAAGGAGGTGGTGATGTGGTCATGAATGTGCCACCATGGTCTTGGCAATGGCAATGTGGTCTTAGTAATGGGAACATGATCAGGGAGGTGAGGGTATAGTTACAGAGGTGGCACCATGGTCTCAGCCCTTGGCACCGTGACCGTGGTGACACCACCATGGTCTAACCAATGGCACCATGACCATGATGCCCCCGTGCTCATAGCAACACCACCACAGCCACACCGTTGCACCCATAACCACAACCCCACCACCACACTCCCAGCACCACCACTACAACCACAGTGCCACCACCTCACCCATCACACCCAACCACCACCCCCATGCCCCTGGCGTCACCAGCGAGGTCCTCAGGGGGGATGTCCTGCCATAGGCATCTCGCTGGAGAAGGTGTTTGAGTATAGCGAGTACTGGGAGGGCGCGCGGGCGCTCTACGCCGCCTTCGACTGCACGGCCACCATGAAGTCCGGCAATGCCGACGTCTACGAGAATGAGATCCCTGGGGGGCAATACACCAACCTCCACTTCCAGGCCCACGCCATGGGGCTAGGCCACAAGTTCAAGGAGGTCAAGAAGGCCTATGCCGAGGCCAACAAGCTCCTCGGGGACCTCATTAAGGTAAGGGAGGGAGTGGGGGTCTTCATGGGATGGGTCTTCATGAGGTGGTCTCCATGGGGTGGTTTCCACGGGGTGGGTGGTTCTTGATAGGGTGGTCTCCATGGGGTGGGTGGTTCTTTATAGGGTGGTCTCCATGGGGTGGTTTCCATGGGGTGGGTGGTTCTTTATAGGGTGGTTTCCATGAGGTGGGTGATTCTTTATAGGGTGGTCTCCATGGGGTGGGTGGTTCTTCATGGGGTGGTGGTGATGGAGGTGGTTGATGTGGAATAGGGGGTCTTCATGGGGTGGGTGGGTGGTCTCCATTGGGTTGTGTTCATAGCGTGGGTGGTCTTCAGGGGATTGTCTTGATGGGGTGGGTGGTGTCCATAGGATGAAGTCCATGGGGTGGGTTGGACTCCATGCTTGAAGTGCTCCATAGGTTGGGTGCTCCATAGATTGGGTGCTTCATGGGTTGAGAACTCCATGGGGCAGGTACTGCATGGGTTGGATTAACTCCATGGCTTGAGTGTTTAATGAGGCAGGTACTCCATGAGTTGGGTGTTTCACATCTTGGGTGCTGCATGAGTTGGGTTCTCCATGGGTTGGGTGCTCCATGGGTTGGATGCTTCATTGGTTGGGTTCTCCATGAGCAAGACCCCTGAGTGACACCCCTGGGTAACACCTCTGGGTGACACCTTTGGGCTGTTGCAGGTGACCCCGTCCTCCAAAGTGGTGGGGGACCTGGCGCAGTTCATGGTGCAGAACGGGCTGTCGCGGGAGGAGGTGGAGGCGCGCGCGGACGAGCTCTCCTTCCCGCTCTCCGTGGTGGAATTCCTACAGGGATACATCGGCACCCCCCCGGGTGGCTTCCCCGAGCCCTTCCGCTCCCGGGTGAGGCGCTGGGGAGCACTGGGATGGACTGGGAGGGCTTCCTGGTGGCTTTAGGCATGGCACTGGACCTTAGCAACAGGTCCTAGGGGTGGTTGCCATGGCACCAGCTCCATAGCAACAGGCCTAATGGAGCTTGTCATGGATGGGTGATGGATCCCTCATCCATCCATCATAATGATGCTGGATCCTTAGCAACAGGATCCAGCAGTAGTTTCCATGGCAACAGCTCCATAGTAACATGTCCCCAGTCCACCCAACCCTAGGTCTAATGATGGTTTCCCTGGCACCCAACCCCTAGCAACAGATTGCTGTATCGGTTGCCATGGCAACAGCCCCATAGCAGCAGGTCTAACAATGGTTGCCATGACACCTGCCACTAGCAATGGGTCCCTGTGCCTGGTTGCCATAGCACCCAACCCTACCAATGGCTCCCATCACCAGTTGGCATGGCACCAGGCCCTATAGCAACATATCCCTACCCTAGCAACACCCTCTAGCAACAGGATGCTGTGGTCCCTCTTGCCACCTCCACTCCCTGGTTGCCATGGGTCGCACCCCTCGTTGCCATGACTGCCCCCGTTGCCATGGTGATCCATCCCCAGGTGCTGAAGGAGCTGCCGCGCATCGAGGGCCGCCCAGGGGCATCGCTGCCGCCGCTGGACTTCGAGGCTCTGGCGCAAGACTTGGGGTCCCGCCATGGGGCCCCCCCCAGCCCCGAGGACCTGCTCTCGGCTGCGCTTTACCCCAAGGTCTATGATGAGTTCCGCACCTTCACCAGCACCTTCGGGCCCGTGTCCTGCCTCGGCACCCGCCTCTTCCTCGAGGGGCCCGCCATCGCCGAGGAGTTTGAGGTGCAGCACGGGGGGACTGGGGACACTGGGAGGGAACTGGGTGTTCCTGGGAGGCAGCAAAACAGAGCCTGGAGCGGGAGCTGTTCTGGGCAGAGCTTTGCGCATCCTCTGCACCCCCTCCTGCACCCCTCCAACAGCCTTTTCTCTCCCTCCCACCCCTCCCAACACAACCGGGACCCCTCCTGTCCCCCTCTGGCGCAGGTAGAGCTGGAGCGGGGCAAGACGCTGCACATCAAGGCGCTGGCGCTGGGGGACCTCAATGCCGCGGGGCAGCGCGAGGTCTTCTTCGAGCTCAACGGGCAACTGCGCTCCATCCTCGTGCGGGACACACAGGCCATGAAGGTGGGGGGGGATGGGATTAATGGGGGATTTAAGGGGGTTTTGGGGGGTTGGGGGGTTAGGAGAGGGTTTGGAGTGTCTGGGAGGACTTGGGGGTTGGTGAGGCGGCTCGGGAGGGTTTAGGGGACTGAATGAGCAGTTTGGGGGGGCACTGGGGCATGATGGGGGGGGTGAGGGGGCTTCAGGAGCCATGGGGGCGTCCTAGGAATTTGTGGGATCGCAGCGACCATGGTGGGGGCTCTGGGAGGAGAATACAAGGGGGATCCTGTGGGAAATGGGGGGGTCTTGGCGACTCCTGAACCCCCCTCTCTTCCTGTTCCCCCCCCCTCCCCAGGAGATGCACGTGCACCCCAAGGCCGACCGCGGGGCCAAGGGCCAGGTCGGGGCGCCGATGCCAGGCGAGGTGGTGGAGGTGCGGGTGGAACAGGGGGCGCAGGTGGCCAAGGGGGACCCCCTCTGTGTCCTGAGTGCCATGAAGATGGAGACCGTGGTGACAGCCCCCATGGCCGGCACCATCACCCGGGTCCACGTGCGCCCCGGCATGAGCCTGGAAGGGGACGATCTCATCGTGGAAATCAAGTAGGGGGGTGCACAGGGACCCCCCCCAAACCTTCCCTTTGCATCCCCCCTCCTAATAACCCACCCACCCGCCAAGCCCCCGCCCGAAATGACGCCTCTGTTAAAGGGGGTACTGGCCCTTTAAGACCGACTTGACCACCCCCGAGCCCGCGCCCTGGCCTAAGCGCGGTAGCGCCACCTGGTGGCCGAAAGCGGTACAGCGAGGGGGGACTTAATCGGGGAGAAGCCATTAATTAGGGGGCCTCGGAGCTTAACTGGGGTCACCCTTTAATTAAGAGGTCAGTGCTTAACTAGGGGGAACCCCTTCATTGGGGGTCCCCATTAATGGGGGGTGAGCACTTAGTTGGGTCACCCCTCTGATGGGGTGACCTGCTAGTTGGGGGGGGCATCAATCAATTAGTGGGCACCCCATTTTAGGGGGGGTCCAACACATAAGTAGGGGCACCCTTAATTGGGAGGGGTCATTGCTTAACCGGGGGGGGGTCACCCATTTAGAGGGGATCAGCCCTTATTTGAGGGGGGGGTCACGTCTTAGTTGGGGGGGGCATCACTTAATTGGGGGCACAATTGGGGGTCCCCCTGTTTGGGGGTTAACCCCATTTGGGAGTCCCTTAACACTTGGGGGGGTCCCCAGCCTCTGCCCTCCCTTAGCCCCACCCCCTTTATTAACCCTGTCCCTGCCATGCTGCCTTAGGGGGAACCCGGATTTTGGGGGAGAGGGAGTGTTTTTGCCCCTCCCCCCCTTCGTTGCTGCCAAACGCCCCTCCCCCACCCATGGGGGGGGCAATGGGGGTGGGGGAGGGGGCGAAGCCTGTGACCAAAGGGCGGGAATGACACTGGACGATGGGAACAAACCTGGAAGGGGGAGGGGTGAGGGTGAAGCCCCTCCCCCCCCCGGCCTCCCCTTCTCCCACCCACCCCCCATCGCACTGGGGGGGGTCGCGGGTAATAAAGACTGGACTAACACATGCACCCTATGGGGGCTATAGGGGCCTATGGGTGCTGTGGGGTGTGTGTAAGGGGCTATAGGGGGGCTATGGGGGCTATAGTCATACAGTTACAGGCGTTATAGGAGTTCTGTAGGTGTCTCTAGGGGCTATGGGGAGGACTGTAAGGAGTCTGTAGGGGCTATGTGGGACTATAAAGTGTCTATAGGGGCTATAGGGAGTCTATACAGGGGCTATGGCATGTCTGCAAAGGGCTAAAGGGACTGAAGTGGGGTTATAGGAGCTCTAGGTGTCTCTAGCGTCTATGGAGGTGGCTGTGTCTGTAGGGGCTATGAGGAGATGTAAGGTGTGTGTAGGGGCTATAGGGAGTCTATAGGGGGGCTATGGGATGTCTGTAAAGGGCTGTAAGGTGACTGAAGTGGGGTTCTATGGGGTCTAGGTGTCTCTAGGGTCTATGGAGGGGGCTATAAGGTGTCTATATGGGCTATGGGGGGCTATAGGGTGTCTATAGGCGTCCATTGGGGTTCCACAGCACCAGAAGCAGCTCTTTTCGATCTCGACCTTTATGGATACACCGGGGGGGCGGGGCCAGCCGGGGAGGGGGTGTGGTGAGAGCCCCGCGGTGGGCGGAGCTTCCCCGTTGGGGGCGTGGTCTGTGCCTGCAAGCCTGCCCCCTGGCGGCGGGGCTTAACCCCTACGGGGGGGGGGGTGTCCCACCACCCCGCCCCTCCCCAAGTGGGCGTGTCCTGCCCCAAAAGGGGCGTGGCCTCGGCACGCCCCCTACCGGCGTTGTAGAGCACTACAGCACCCAAACCCCACATGGGGAGTGTTGGGGAGGGGGTTCCCCCCTTTTCCTCAGCTCCCCCCCCCCATCAAGGGGGCGGGGCCATGCGGGGGGGGCCCGGGGGGGGGTTGGTGGCGGCCTTGCGCGCCAGCTTGGCCAGGAGCGGGCTGTGCGGGTGGCGCTGCCGCAGGTGCGCGATGTGCCCGTCCTGGCTCTCGGCGGTGCCGCCGCACTCCTCGCACACGTAGAGCTTGGCGCGCCGCTCCTTGTAGGCGTAGCGCTGCGCCACCCCGTGGATCTTCTTGAGGTGCGACTCCAGCGAGCAGCGCTGCGTGAACGCCTTCTCGCACAGGCTGCACTTGTACGGGCGCACGCCTGGGGGGGGAGAGCGGTGAGGGGGGGAGCGTCTTCCCATAGGGAATGGCCCCATCTCCATCCCCTCCCATCACAACCCACATCCTTGTCTCCGTCCCTGTCACACCCCCATCCCCATCCTCATCCCCGTCCCATCTATGTTCTCTCTTCATCCCATCACATGCTGTCATATCCCATTCCAACCCATCCTATTCCATCCCAACCCTTCACATCCCATCCCATCTTTGGACCTATCCCATCCTTTCCTTGTTTCCATCCCATCCTTATTCCCATCCCACTCTCACTCCTATCCCCATTCCATCCTTTCCTTGTCTCCATCCCACTCCTATCCCCATCCCATCCTTTCCTTGTCTCCATCCCACTCACTCCTATTCCTATCTCATCCTTTCCTTGTCTCCATCCCACTCTCACTCCTATCCCCATCCCATCCTTTATTTGTCTCCATCCCACTCTCAATCCTATCCCCATCCCATCCTTTCCTTGTCTCCATCCCACTCTCACTCCTATCCCCATCCCATCATTTCCTTGTCTCCATCCCACTCTCACTCCTATCCCCATCCCATCATTTCCTTGTCTCCATCCCACTCTCATTCCTAGCCCCATCCCATCCCTGCCACCATTCCATCCCCAACATCATTCCACCCTCATCCTGTCCCACATCCACCTCACCTCTGTCCTGTCCCCATCCCATCCCATCCTTATCCGTATCCTATCCCGCCCCCATTCCCACCCTATTCCCGTCCCCATCCTCATCCCCATCCTAATCTACCCCACCCCATCCCGCCCATCGCACCGGTGTGGGTGCGGACGTGACGCTTGAGGTCGAAGGTGTCGTTGAAGCCCTTGCCGCAGTAGGGGCAGAGGTGCCGCTTCACCTCACTGTGGCACTTGAGGTGCCGGTTCAGCATCCGCTGGAACCCGAAGCTCTTCTGGCACACGGGGCAGGAGAAGACCTCGGGCCCCCCCGGAACGCCCCCGGCCACCGGCACCCCCCCCGGGACCCCCCCAGCCATGGGGAGAGCTGCGGGGATGGGGGCACCCAGGGGGCCGGGGGGGACCTGCCAAAGGAGGGGAGGGGGGTGTAAATGGAGGGGATACCCTGTCCGGGGTTTAGCAGCAGCCCTGCCCCCGGCAGAGCATGGGGCTCCCCAAGTCCTTGCTCAGGGCAAGCGTTACTGAGCAGCAACTGAAAACATCGGGGTTCAGCGCTGCCCCCAGGCTGGAAGTCAAACCCCAGCCCTGCACCCCACACCGAGCAGAAAGATGACTGCTGCTGCTGAACCCAGGACATACACACACAAAGACCAATCATAGGGACCCCCCTTGGGGACCCTCACCCATAGGGATGCCCCATAATGGGGACCCTCAGCCTTAGGGACACCCACACACTGGGGTCATGAGGGACTCCCCAGCCTGCGGACCCTTGGTTATGTAGACCCCACATACTGGGGACCCCCCACCTTGGGGACCCCCGCCACCAGTTATGGGGATCCCCTCACTTTTGGGACCCCCACTCATGGGGACCCCCCCCAAGCATCGAGACAACCAGTTCTGGGGATCCCCCCCCCAGGGACACACCATACTGGGGACCCTCAGCCTTCAGGATCCCCTCACGTTGGGGACAACCCCCCTCACCTTCCTCCCCCCCCTCCCGCCCACCCAGGACCCCTCCACATTTGGACCCCCCGCCCTTACCTTGCCCTTGGGGTGCAGGAAGGGGCCGGGGGGGGCGCGGGGGGCCGGGGGGGGCAGCGTCATGTCGAGGGGGGACACGGGGGATGCGGGGGCCTCCCCCAGGGCGGGCTCGGGGTCCCTGCGCAGGGGGCAGCCCCCCAGGAAGACTGGGGGGGGGAGAGAGGTGAGGGGAGGTGCACCCCCAAATAGCACCCACATGGGACCCCCAATGGGATCCCCCCAATGGGCACCCCCTAATGGGGACCTCCTTAATAGGACCCCCCCGAAAGGTGACCCCCTCCAATGGGGACCCCCCCAGTGGGCAGCCCCTAATGGGAGCCCCCAGTGCCCCCCCCCACCCCAGTGGGGACCCTCACAATAGGGACCCTGTAATAGAGACCCCCTTAATGGCCTCCCCATAATAGGCACCCCGAAATTAGACTCCCCCTAATGAGCACCTCTAAAAGTGACCCCCTCAATGTCCCCACAATGAGCTCCCCCAGATATGACCCCCCAATGGAGACCCCCTGTCCTTTGACTCCGCAATGGGGCACCCCTAAATGTGACCCCCCCGATATAACCTCCCAGTAAGTGCCGTTGTCCCCCCCGCTGCAGCAGGACTCGAGGGGGGTTCCCCTTTTCCCCGCCTCCCCCCCGCCTCTTTGGGGTTCCCCCAACCGGTCCAACGGCTCTGGCCGCGACACCCCAAATTACGGGGTGTCACCCGCGTGGGCCCTGGGGGGGGACACGCCACCCCCCACACCCCTCCCGCACCACCCTGGGCATCCGGACACCCCAATCCCCACCCCCCCGGACACCCCAATTCCCCCACCCTTGAGGTCCAGACACCCCAATCCCCCCCTCCAGGGCTTTGGGGGTGCCCCATGGGTTTTCGGAGGGCCCCATGATTTGTGGGTGCCCCACAGTTTAGGGGTGCCACCATGGTTTGGGGGGCGTGGCATGGCTCTGGGGGTGTCCCATGGGCTTTGAGGGTGCCCCATGTTTGAGCGGGCCCCATAGCTCTGGGGGTGCCTCATGGCTTTGGGGGTGCCCCATAGCTGGGGGGTGCCCCATGGCTTTGCCCCCCCCCCCCCCGGGGGTGGTGTCGGCCGCGTGGCTCCTGCCCCACCCGGGCGGGGCCAAACCCCGACTCTGTCATTACGGGGGTTAATCATCGCCCCGACGCTTCCTGGGGCCCCCCACAGCCTGGGGGGGGCACGGGGTAAACAGGCCCCCCCCCAAAGACCGAGGGTCCCCCCATAAAGCCAGAGCCATGCTCGGACCCCCCCAACACATCGGGGTACCCCCAAAGCCTGGGTACCCCCAAAGCACCCCAGGCCCCCCCAAAGCCGGGGTCCCCCCACACCAGAGTCCCCCCTCAACACTGTGATTCCCTCAGATGCCTCAGCCTCCCCCAGTACCCATCTCCCACTGGATTCCTGGAGCCCACCCAAAACATGGGGGTCCCCCCAAAAGCCTGCCCCCCCCCCCCCCCCGGACACGAGTCCTCTCTGGATGCTGCCATCATCCCAAACACCCGGGTCCCCCCCAACACTGGGGTCCCCCCAAACTATGGGGCTCCTCAAACACCTGGATCCCCCCCAAACACCGGGATCCCCGCCAAAAGCCCCCCCCATTACCCATCTCCCAGCACCGGGTCCCCCCAGATACTGAGGTCCCCCCTGGATGCCTCAGTCCCGCAGTTCCCATCTCCCACCAGATTCCTGGGCTCCCCCCGAGACACCCGGGCCCCCCCCGTCTCGGGGCCCCCCCATACTGGGCACGTAGATCTCCGCACGCTGCTCATCCGGGAGCTCGCTCCAGTTGCGCTTGGCCGAGGCCACGCTCGGCTTCTTCACCAGGAAGGCGCGAGGCATCGCCCGATCCTGACGGATCCCCGTGGATCCCAATAGGTCCCAATAGATCTTGATGGGTCCCGATGGATCCAAATGGAACCCGGTGATGTTCCAGCCCTGATCCCAGTCGGGATCCCAGGGGATTCACCGGCCGCTGGTGGGTTTCGGTATTGGATTCCCAGTGTTTGAGTTGGAAGGTGGGGATGGATCCCAGATCCCTGCTCAGTTCTGAGCCCAGAACATGATTATTGGGTTAATAACGGTGCCAGATCCCAGGTTCCTGGTCAATTTTAGTGCTGGATCCCAGCTCCAGAGTTGATTTTAGATCACAGATTCCTGGTCGGTTCTGATCCGATTCCCGGTTAATGTTGATGTCGGATCCCAGACTCCGGGTCGATTTTGACACCAGATCCCAGCTGTTTGCTCAGCTCCAGCTCCAGCTCCCAGCTGGGGTTTGCTGCCTGCTCCCAGATCCTTGCTCACCCCTGGGGCCGGATCCTGGATTCCAGCCGCTTTTGCCGCCAGATCCCAAAGCCTCGCTCAGGTTCAGCATCAGCGATCCCTCGGCCCGTTCCCACCGCGGGGCCCGGCTCGGTCCCGCTTTCAGTCCATCCCCTCTCCCGGCCGGTCCCGGCTCCGCTCCGGCCGTCACCGTTGTCGCCGCCTCCGCACCGCTGCCCGGTGTCGCTGGGTACCGGCTGCCGCCCGGTGCCGTCGGGTGCCGGCTGTGTCCGTGCGGCTGGGTCCGTGCCGCTGCCGAGCGTCGCCCCGCCGGTCCCGCCCCGGGAGGTGTTGCCGGTGCCGGGACTGGTGCGACCGGTTGTGCCGGAGCCGGTGTCGGAGCCGGTCGGTCGGGCGCCGCGTTGGGAAATAACGGGGGAGCCCAACCCCGGCCTGGGGACAGCGGGAGGGGGACACGGGGCGGGGGACATGGGGCTATGGGGACATGGGACATGGGCATGAGGGATGTGGGGACATGGGGAGACATTTGGGACACGGGACATGGGAACACTGGGATGGGGAACGTGAGGGACCCCCCCTTTAGAGGGTCACAAGGTCTCGTGTCCCCTGGGGGGAGCGTCTGGGGGTCCCCCTGATGCTGTGTCCACTATGGGGTGTCCCCTGTTCCTATGGGGTGTTTCATTGTGTCCCCTATGAGGTGTCCCCTATGTGGTGTACCCTGTCGCTATGGGGTGTCGCTTGGTCACCTATGGGGTGTCCCGCTGTCTCTATTGGTGTGTGCCTGGCCCTGTGTGGAGTCCCTGATGAGGTGTCTCCTGTCCTTATGGAGTGTCCCTGTGTCCCTATGGGGTGTCCCCTTGTGCCTATGTGGTGTCCCCTATGGGGTGTCCCCTGTCCCTATGGGGTGTCCCTGTGTCCCCTATGGGGTGTCCCCCTGTCCCTGTGGGGTGTCCCTGTGTCCCCTATGCGGTGTTCCTTTGTGCCTATGTGGTGTCCCCTATGGGGTGTCCCCTGTACCTATGGGGTGTCCCTGTGTCCCTTATAGGGTGTCCCCTATGGGGTGTCCCCTGTCCCTGAGAGGTGTCCTTGTGTCCCCTATGGGGCGACCCCTTGTGCCTATGTGGTGTCCCGTATGGGTTATCCCCCTGTCTCTATGTGGTGCCCCCTATGTAGCGTCCCCTGTCGCTATGAGGTCTTCCTGTGTCCCCTAAGAGGTGTCCCCCTGTCCCTATATGGTGTCCACTCTAACTATGGGCTGTCTCCTGTCTCTATCGATGTGCGCCTGGTCCTGTGAGGAGTCCCCAGTGAGGCGTCCCCTGTCCCCACAGGGTATCCCCGTGTCTCCTATGGAGTGTCCCCTGTCCCCATAGGGCACCCCTGTGTCCCCTATGGGGTGTTCTCTGTCCCTGTGAGTGTGCCTCTGTCCCTGTGGGGTTCCCCCTGTCCCTATGGGCTGCTCCTGTCTCTGTGTGGTGTCCCTGTGTCCCCTACGCGGTGTCCCCGTTCCTGTGTCCCCTATGGGCTGTCCCCTGTCCCTGTCTCCGCTGTCCGCGGCCACTCCCGGCCCGCTCCTGTCCCGGGGGGTTCCCTGGTCCCGTCTTTCCGGTCCCGGTGGCCCCGGGGGGGGCCGGGGGGGGCCCGGGGCGACGCGGCGGAACCGGCCGGTCCGGCCCGAGAGGGAGGGAGGGAGGGAGCCCCGCCCGGAGCGGCGGGACCGGCGGGGCAGGGCGCGGGGATGGGGACCATAGGGCGGATACAGGGAGCAAAGGGGCTATAGGGGGTCTATGGGGTCTGTAGGGGGGCTCCGTGGGGCTACTGGGGGGGGTGTCTATGGTGTCTATAAGGGATACCACGGGGAGGGGGGGTGCTTATGGGAGGGGTCTGTGTGGTCTATAGGGGTCTTTGGGCGATTCTGTGAGCCTCTGGGGGGCTCTATGGGGGTCTATGCTGGTCTAAAAAGAGTCTATAGGGGTTCTATGAGGCCTATAGGGGGTCAGTGGGGTCTAAACGGGGTCTATGGAGGTCTGTAGTCTAGAGGGGGTCTATGGGGAGTCGATGGGGTCTATAGGGGGTAAATGGAGTCTATGGGGGGTCTGTGGCGTCCATAAGGGACTATGGGGTCTATAGGGACTCTATAGTGAGTCGATGGGGTCTATAGGGGCTACCGAGGGGCTTATGGAGGGGTCAACGGGGTCTGTGAACCGGAAGCGTGACGTCACGGGTGCTCCAGGAAGCGGTGGAGGGAAAAAGCAGCGCTCAACCCCCCCGAGGCCCCCCTGCGTTACGTCACCAGGTGACGGACACGCCCCCTCCCGAGGCCACGCCCCCCATGACCCGCTATGGGAATGAAGGGGGAGTCCCTATGGGGGGCAATGGGGTCCCCCCAACCCCTGGGTACTATGGGGGGGGTTTGGGTTCCCATGGGGGAGGGTCTAGGGGTTCCGTATGCGGGACTGGGGGTCCCCTGAATCCCTGTGTCCAATATGGGGGGGGTGGGGGTCCCCCAAACCACTGGGTCTCCTATGGGGGGTGACTGGGGTCCACTGGGGGGGGTCTGGAGATTCCGTATGGGGGAGGGTTTTGGCGGGTCCCCGGAATCCCTGTGTCCAATATGGGGGTACTGGGGTACCCCCAACCCTTGGGTCTCCTATGGGGGGTGACTTGGAGTCCCCAGTGGGGGTGAGGGATCTCCATGGATCCCATACAGGGACTGGGAGGAATGCCCACGTATTCCATACAGGGACTGGGAGGGATGCCCATGGATCCCATTCAGGAACTGGGAGGGATGCCCATGGATCCCATACAGGGACTGGGAATGATAGCACTGGATGCCTTAATCGTACCGGGAGGGAACCCAGTGGTTCCTATCATGGGGGTGGCAGGGAGTATGTCCTATAGTGAGACGATGGGGAACCCCTTACTGGTGCTGGGAGGGATCCCAGGGAATCCCATAGCCATACTGGGAGGGATCCCAGTGTATTCCATCCTGGTGCTGGGAGGGATCCCAGGGAATCCCATAGCCATACTGGGAGGGATCCCAGTGTATTCCATCCTGGTGCTGGGCGGGATCCCAGGGATCCTGACTCGCTCAAAACTCGCCAACAAGGCTGAAGTCGAGCGGGCACTCTTTATTGCAGGGGCACAGCGCCACCTAGCGTGTTTGTGCGGAACCTCAAGCAGACCCTGCTTAGACCGTTGCTTAACGTGCCTATCATTAAAGGTCGTACCCAGTCATTAACCACCCGAGACGCAGTTTACATAACCCCGCGCCCATTTCCACATGCGCACCACAACGTGGCAGTGCTCTTCTGGGGCTCGCTGGCTTCTTCCAACAATCTTCATCGCTTCTGGCAGCCTCTGAAGCACGCGCAGTAGATGCGCTTCCACCAGCTTGCCTGGCTCGTTAACACTGCAGACACAATCATCCTGTCCTTCTACTCAGTTAGCGTAGCTGCAGCCCATCCTGGACACCTCCTGGTGTCAGATACCCCTTATCCACACCTCCTGTTTTTCTCACCCTCGTTTTTGTACTAAGGTCATAAGGACCTAAACCTACGCCAACTACGATTTATCTGCCACAAGGATTCTCGTTATGTTCTTCAGCTGCACTCTATTTTTTCTTCTGTGAAACATGTACCTCAGTTATTTTCCACTCCTTCTGTTACAAAGCCCTCAAACTTCATGTTATTTAAAGCTGAATTTACGTACTTACAAAGGTTTACATCTCATTTTGTACCTCCTTGTCTCGATCCATACCTGTGTATTAAGCCACTGCGCTTACCTACTCGCTGTGATTTTATTACCTGTTTTTAACTAACGCGCAGTACAGAACCTCTGCCTCAGCTGCACTAAGAACTACAGTTCAGCAGCAGTGCGAGTCAGACATGTTTTGCTATGGAGAGTCCCAGAACGCTCTCCCAGCAATGTCTCTGATTCTTCACCCTTGCAACTCCCTTCTGACCATTCTCTCCCTTTAGGCTTCGGAGCCTAAGCCAAGCACTGGGGAATCTGTGAGATCCACAGCGTATCTGAAGGGGAAGTCCACTTCACCCCTATAGACTACCGTTTCCACAACTCTCAGGGAGCTTTCTTCTAACATCTTCATAGTCCTTCTACCCTTGATTTTCCTGCCACAAGCTCCCTTTTTGCACTACAGCCCCACCATCTGAGAGGGAGATGATGTTAACAGATGATGATTAACTAGACTTCACCAAGATTCAACTCGTAATGGTACTGCCGAATGGGATCCCCTCACATTCAGTTGTCAAAGTGCAAGGTTACAACACCAAAAGGCAAACTGGGAGCCAGTATTCATGCCTGCCAGAAAAAATGACATTTACATAACCCAGTCAATGAGAAAGAATTTGTCAAAAAGATACATCCCTTCCAGCTACCAATCTGAAAACGCTAATATATAATCTGCTAAGCAGCATCAGCAGCAGTGATTTGGATGAATGGATTGGAAAGGATAAAGAAACGTGAATCATTTGCTGAACAGGTACAGAAGTACATTGGTACAGAAGACTTCTGAAACACAAGTTTCTTGCTGAGGGCCCCTTTGCTATTTTCAAGACAGAAGCTGCTTGATGATCAGGTGGAGAAAACAAAGAACTTCCCTGGGTTTATGGCAGACATCCAAACCGAACTTTGAAGCAAGCAGCTTAACCAACACAGATGAAGTTCCCCTGTGATTCACTACTTCCCTGACATGAATAGTCTATGAAACAGTTACACAAAGCATGACAGCTTTTAGTGTGGGATTGGAGAATATGCTATGGTTACATTCTGCTACTCCCTTCAGAGAAGGAGTCAAACACAGACCTATTTGCGCTTAGGAAATGATGCCCTAAGAAA